TGATAGACTAAATAATATAATACATGACTTTGAGAGTAGGCAATCTAGGCATATTAACAAAATTAATTAAACATACTTATCACGGCGAGGGTGTACTGAGATAAAAAACATTTCCTTTTTTTTTCGTTGCTAGGGGGCCCTTAGGGGCTGCGGGGCCCTTAGTGGCTGCGGGGCCCTTACGGCCCGTCCACACAGCGGCGTGCGTTGAAGCTTCCAACGCTTCTGCCCATTCACTTTTAATGGGGTGACGTCACTTTTAGCCGAAATGCATTTTGGGAAGCGACGTGGAGCGTTGCTGGCGTAGCTGGCGTCAAAAGTTGAGCAATGTTCAACTTTTGACGCCTCGACGGAGGCGTCAGCCAATGAAATCCCGTTTATTCAAATCTGCCAGTACAATCGCTAGCCAATCAAACCGCGTGTATTCTGGGAGAGACTACGCAGGTCATTTCCTCATATTCAAAAAAATTGAGGGGAAATTCATTGTAGCGGTAGTGAATCACCCGGTGCTGTATGATCAGTCTCTGTTCATCTACCGGGATACAAACCGGAGGAGCGAGGCATGGAAGGAGGAGGCAGAGACAGTGGGTGAAACTGGTAGGTTTTCGCCTGTTTGGGGATTTTATATCCAGTTTACTTCGTTTTAACATTGCTATTGCTTTGTATGTCGGGGGCGGGAGATTCATGTGATTGGTTGTTGGTCGTGTTGCTCGCAAAAAATCCCCAAGCTTCAGATATGCCCACCTCCAAGCGTCAACGCACGCTGCTGTGTGGACGCTCCGTCAGTGGCTGCGGGGCCCTTAGTGGCTGCGGGGCCCTTAGTGGCTGCGGGGCCCTTAGTGGCTGCGGGGCCCTAAGCGGCCACTTATGTTGCTTAATGGGTCGGGCTGGCTCTGGTCAAGTGCACTGACTAAATACCAATACACCACAACCTGATTATGTGGGGCGAAGCCTGCGAGCTAGTTCTGGCAGTCAACAAACAATGATACATTTACACTGACGCGCCTCGTCCCTTACTAACCAACCAACCAAACTCTCCTAAACCTGGAGCTCTATTTAAGCTGCCAGATCTGCCTGCCGCTACATCACCAATGCTGCTGCTGCTACTTCCACGTTGCTGCCCCACCACCACCCGAGCCTCCATCCCAGCATCCACCTGTAGGCTCTGGGAAAAGTTATTTAATCATCACTCAATGTTCTATGTAAATCTGTGGAGTGATGAGGCCCGAGCGCCAAACTCAGATATGCTGCTTCTAATAAACATATCAAAGAAACATGTGAGTTTTCTGACTAAACAAAAGCTTCAGCAGCAACCTGTAAACATATATTATTTTGAAAATTAGGAAATAAAAAACAGAATTACCAGTCAGTGTTTTTATTGAATGAATGTTAAAGGTAAAAATATGTTGTACTACCTTGTCATTTTCTTTCATAATTTCAGTTCGTAAACATAAATGTCGAAAAAAAACGACCTCGGAGTCAGTTTCAGGTACGTTGCAGAATGAAAGCAGCGGGTGTGGGTGGAGTTCAGAGAAGCCTTGAAAGAGAGACTTTCGGCCGGCACCAAAGTTGTTCCCCTGTTCAGAAAGGAGGTCAGAGGGTGTGTGCCAATGAGGGAGGCATCGCACTACTTAGCCTCCCAGGGAAGGTTTACTCTTAGGTGCCGGGAAGGAGGGTCCGGTCGATAGTTGAACCTCAGATTGATGAGGAACAATACGGCCTGGTCGTGGAACGATGGAGCAGCTTTTCACTCTTGCAAGGATCCTGAAGGGGGCCAGGGAGTATGCTCCTCCGGTTTAAATGTGTTTCGTAGATTTGAAGAAGGCGTTTGACCAGGTTCCCGGTCCCTAGTGTGAGGTGCTGCAGGAGTATGGGGTGAGGGGGTCACTTCTCAGGCCATCCAATCTTTGTACGCCCAAAGGGAGAGCTGTGTCCGTGTCCTAGGAAGTAAGTAGGACTTGTTTCTGGCGAGGGTTAGCCTCCATAAATAACTGCTTATTGTCACCAATCCTGTCTGTGATTTCAAGGCGTAGTCGTGGGGGAGTGATGCTGTGGTTCGGTGGGCTAAGGATTGCATCGCTGCCTTTTCCAAATTAAGTGGTTCTGATTGCGATCGGTCTGCGACCTTCATCTCTCCTTCGTACGGTTAATAGCCGAGTGTGAAGCAGCTAGGATGAGGGCCAGCACCTCCAAATATGAGGCCATGGTTACTAGCAGGAAACCAATGGACTGTCCACTGTGAGTATAGAATGAGTCCTTACCCCAAAGTATCAAATATCTCTGGTTCTTGATCTCGAGTCGAGAATATCTGAGCAGCAGGACTGGCATTGCAGTCGCATTACCGCACCGTTGTGACAAAGCTATCTCTATATCTTCATGCACAAAAACTCTAGATATATATTTGGAACCGGGTTCATTCAACTAAGACCCCGGCCACACGAGGACGAAAACGGCTAAACGCATAGGATTAACGCAATCGCAAACAAGCTTTTTGTCCACACGCAATAGTTATCCGGATAGTGTCTGCCCACACGAGACCGCTCCGTTTAGCTCCAACCGCTGGATAAGCTGCAGTACATATGCAGGAGCCTGTACGTGGCGCTGTAACTTCCTCCACAAAAGCAGCGAAGAAGCATGGTTGTCACGGTTGCCCTTCTGTTTATTCCCCGCGGTGGGGGCCGAGGGAACCGGGCAGAGTTTTTCGCCAGTCAACGTGTATTAAAGTTTAAACCTTCCGACAAAATTATAAATTTGCCGGTCAAAGGTCTTCTTAGTTATTTATTGAGCTTTAAAACAAATGAATAACGACTCTATATAATATAATAATAAAAATACACGGAGCCTCTCTTTTTCCACCCTCTCTTTGGACAGCATCAGTGTCTGTTTCATGCAGCAGCTGATCCAGTAATGAGTGACCCGGCCGACAGTAAAAATAAACATATTTATAACTAGTTTAGGTAGTTTGAGAGGTGTCTCCGTCCTGTCAGATTAGACTTCACTCGCGTTTATGTCCATATCGAGAGAAAGATAAATAATCTGAATTCAGTGTGCAGTTTACTTTGACGCGGGGGTGAGCAGCAGAGGTGGGGAGAGGCGGGGCTATTGCGCAATCATTATCAGAAAATGATCGCTGAAGCTGCAGTACATATCCACAAAAGCAGCGAGTAAGTTCCCCCCCGGATGTGTAAGTCTGCTGTAGATGTTGCACAAAGAACTGTAGCATAGTCAGTAGCGTCCGGAGCACGATAGCAACTCTGCGATCCGCCATTGTTGTTGTTGTTGGTGGCGAAACACATCAGCAATGGCGCGGGGTACGCGGAGGTGAGCAACAGAGGTGGGGAGCGGCGGGGCTATTGCGCAATCACTATCAGAACATGTTCGTATCGGGCGCACACACGGAGACGTTTGACCCCCCAGAGCGTTGCGTATGCCGTTCTATCCACCTTGGGACCCGTTGTCGTTTCCTCAGTCGTTTAGTGCCGTATTCGGTCGTCCTCGTGTGGCCGAATGGTCTATATGACACTAAACAGTAACGCAAACGGCCGTTTTCGTCCTCGTGTGGCCGGGGCATAAGCATACCCTATCCCACTGGTTGATCACCCTCTGATCTACTTGACCCCCCCTCCTATCCCTCCTGACTGTGGGATACACCATCACCAGGGCCTGCTGTAGCACAGACCGCTAATACGGAGCCATATCCATCCATGGTTCAACGTTGTACTGTAATAAAATATTTCCTCCAGGCTGTGATTGTATGAGTTTTGGGGAAAAATAACGTATTTGTCACGCAGCAGGAACATAAAATAAGATGAACAACATTCTTGCACATATCCTCTTCAGTACGTTTTCATGAAATATTTTCATTACCTTTATCTAAGTTCACTTGACTAACACAGGTATTAAGACCACTAGATTCATTCTTTAAAAAGGAATTTATTCTTCTTTTAAACCTCAAGGTATGAAGAGCGTTTGGAAAGCATGGAATCTAAAATAGTAATTGAATGGTAACTATAGTATAAATAAATAGCTTGTACTGTTTCTCATTACTTGAGAAAAACTAAGAAAAACACTTTTTTTAATGGCCCTTCATGACTAAGTCCCAGGTGGATTCACTGCATTGCAACTTAATTAGATTCAGTGTGGTACAAGTGTCTGGTCCAGCACTAATTACCACAGATCTAGCAGAGTATTCCTGCTTTTGTTTTATAAGAATTAGGAGCAGAAACATCTAAAGAAGGATAAATCAATGTTTGTTTATTTACTCACTAAAATGCAACAATGCAAACCTTAGCTAGTAATTAAAAGCAGAAATGAAATAATTGGTCAATTATGGATCCGTCAAGAACTTTGGATGTCAAATTTAGTATTTTAAAACTGGCCCCAGAATAGTCAAAGAATGATTAAACTTTTCAATTAGATCATTAATATTCAGACCTGTCAAAACTCAAACTTAAGAACAATAAACCGTATTTAATTTTGTCTTTATTTACATTATTTAATTTCCTATTCTGTTCTTTTAAAAATCCCATATTCTATTGACATGTATATAGACTTTTTGCACAACTTTTGATTTTGTATTTTTGTATTTGATACAAGCGGCCGAGATGGGTTTTCTCCGCAGGGTGGCTGGTGTCTCCCTTAGGGATAAGGTGAGAAGTTCGGTCATCAGGGAGGGACTCGGAGTTGAGCCGCTCCTCCTTCGCGTCGAAAGGAGCCAGTTGAGGTGGTTCGGGCACCTAGTTAGGATGCCACCTGGGCGCCTCCCTAGGGAGGTGTTCCAGGCACGTCCAGCTGGGAAGAGACCAAGGGGTAGACCAGGTGGAGGGATTATATCTCTTCGCTGGCCTGGGAGCGCCTTGGGATCCCCCAGTCAGAGCTGGTTGATGTCGCCAGGGAAAAGAAAGTTTGGGGCTCTCTGCTGGAACTGCTACCCCCGCGACCCGACCACGGATAAGCGGAAGAAGATGGATGGATGGATGGATGTATTTGATTAGATATGTTGCATTGTTGGAGGAGCTAAGGTCAGAAGAATGTCATTGCCATTTCTACACTGTAGCTTTGTGCATATGACAATAAAATCTTTGAATCTTGAAATGTAATCCAACTACCATCAACTCTAAAGAATCCAGGAAGTGACTGCATCACAGACTGTATTTTTTTCACAAATTAAACAAATCAGCTTTGTTCAATGCGGTGCTGGTGCAGGAACTGTTCTCTTATCTGTAAAGGTAAGAAACATGAAACTATGTTGTTGAGCGAGTTACTGTTCTGTGTATCTGATTAACACATGTCATCTTCTTCTTTTCATTGAACAGCACAATGCCTGACCTGCCGTCAGTGCCCTGTTGGCATATCTGGGACCTGTCTCTCTGGAAAGGACCTCCAATGTGGTGCAAATGCAAAAAACGTAAGGAAAACACTCTTAATATACTTTGAATACACAAGGTTCAAATGTAACTACAGCACGTCATAAAATAAAATATCATAAAGCGGCAAAATCATGACTGCAACACGGCTAATTGTTTCAATTGGTTATCACATTTTCTTAATTTTTCCAATTGATGTTTACAACATTTTCACAGAGATTGGATTGAAATCACATAACAAGGTTAAACAACTACAGTTTTTAAAAGTGATTGTGCAAAGTCTGATAGACTCTTAATACAATCAATAGTTCAAAACAAAATAAGTCATTGTAGAGTTGATGTAAACACATTTTCCAAAAATCAACAGAGTTCATTTTAAAAGGCTTGAAGCCTTCTGCCGACAGGTTTTCGTCATGTAAAATAGTTGAACACAATCACATGTTCTATTTTGCATATTTGCAGTGTAAATTCTTTTTGGGCAGATGTGACCTGGACAACATTTAGATATCAATCAAATCTAGACCTTCAAAATGTAGGTTAATACACTTCATGTGTCTTGTTTGCTTGCCTTACAGTGCTAATACATAATATAGTTGAGATCTTTTGTCCAAAAATGCTCCTCAGACTCTATAAAGAGCCTATCTTCAGAAATATCACTAGTCTATCACCCTCTGATCTACGTGTCCTCCCTCCAATCCTTCCTGACTGCAGGATACACCATCACCAGGAGCCACATCAATCCCTCATCCGTCTCACTGCTGCTTCGGGCGACCTAATTACCGTTTGTGGTACAAAAGACCTTTAGGAAACAAAAGAGATCCTATTCATGACTGGGTTTTCTCTGTATGCACTCATGAACTAATAGCTATAATCGACAAACTTGATTAACTTTGGACACACTCTTTTTGTGATTGTTGTCGTCTCTATGGTTCAAAGTTGTACTTTAATAAAATGTTGTGCATTCGATGTTGGAAGTGTGGGGGAAACTTCTGAAGCAATCGGAGTCAGGACTCAGAGAGACACGAGGAGAGCTGGAGCTTTGATGGCAAACACTGACTGAGAATTCACAAGACATGTCACGGGCCACGAGTTAACCACACGGTTGAGATGCCACAATCAATTCTGAAGAACCCTCCTGTAGCTCGAGGTTTTAACTTCAGAGTGTAATAATCAACATTCTTCAATAGATAGACTAAACAGCTGAGGACACTGAATCCCATTTGTTGTCGCTCGGGGTCATCTGCACCCCGAGAAGGATGTGTTCCAGGTGTCCCACAACAATAACTATCTCTGACCGAAGTTGCCCGATCATAAACTGGCAACAACAACAAAATGCTTGGGCAGCCCCTCCTTAAGGGAGATAGCGGCTGCCCAAGGTTGGGCATCTGCGTCAGAGGGCAAAAGGTAAACATGTATACAGAATTATTCCCTGACAGGAAGTCATTTTTTTGTAATGAAATGCAGCAGGAACACAAAACAAGATAAACAACATTCTTGCACATAACCTCTTCAGTGAGTCTTAATTAAATCTTCTCATTACCTTGATGTAACTCACTTGACTAACACAGGTGTTAAGACCGTTAGCTTCATTCTTTAAAAAGGAATTTGTTCTTCTTTTAAACCTCAAGTATGAAAAGTGTTTGGACAGCAGGGATTGTGCTGAGCGCCATCATCGCCGCAGGTTAGTTGAGAATAACTACAAGTTTTACGACTGCTGCCTTTATTCCTTTATCTATTCGAAACATGTTTTTTATTCTGACCTCTGTACCAACTTAGTGTTATTTTCAAGTCTTTGTTAGCACAATCCAACATAGTCATTGAATGATAACTATAGTATAAATAAATAACGTGTACTGTGTCTCATTACTTGAGACAAACTAAGAAAAACACTTTTTTTAATGGCCCTTCATGACTAAGTCCCAGGTGATTTCACTGCATTGCAGCTTAATTAGACTCAGTGTGGTACAAGTGTCTGGTCCAGCACTAATTACCACAGATCTAGCAAAGTACTCCTGCTTATGTTTTATAAGACATATTAGCAGTAACATTGATTTAAAGGCAACATAAAGATACACCTCCCTGAATGTATATGAGTATATGTTTAAGTTGTTGTAGTAAAGAAGGAAAATCAATGCTTGTTTATTTACTTGTCTAAAATACAACAATGCAAACCTTAGCTACTAATTAAAAGCAGTGATTCACTAATAGTCAATTATGGTCACATTTTGCATTTTAAAACTGGCCCCACTCACAGTGATGATTTTTTCAATTAGATCAATACAATTCAGACCTGTAAAAAACTCAAACTTAAGAACAAAAGCAAGAGTTTATCGGTTGGAGTAGATGTTAATTTGAAGAAATTGGTTTAAATATGCTTACTTGCTGAGAGTTAACTCTCCAGTTAAACTTGCCATGTTGCAGTTAGCTTAGCACAAAGAGTGGTAACAGGAGGAAACAGCTAGCTTGGCTCCCTCCAGATGTTATCCAAATACCATCACCTCTAAAGACTCCAAGAAATCTATCTGTCTGTCTGTAACTTTGTGTGGTATTGTTACCACTGATCAGGTCTCTCTTGAGAATGAGACCCTGTGTCTCAATTAGATTTGACCTGTATAAATAAAGGCTAAATAAAAATGAAATATCACCTCAGCACAGATTGTAATTTTACACTTTGGAATGTTTAAACACAAACCAGCCTCTTTCAATGCGGTGCTGGTGGAGGAACTATAATCTTATCTATAAAGATAAGAAACATAAAACGATGTTGCTGAGCAAGTTACTGCTGTGTATCTGATTAACACATGTCTTCTTCTTTTCATTAAACAGCACAATGCCTTACCTGCCGTCAGTGCCCTATTGGCACATCTGCGACCTGTCTCTCTGGAAAGGACATCCAATGTGCTGCAAATGAGCTCTGCTTTCAAGGGGAACTAAGTAAGGAAAACACTCTGAATATACTATGAATACACAACGTTGAAATGTTTCTACAGTATGTCGTAAAACTAAACATAATAAATAAGCATCAAAATCATGAATGAAAACTCATCTCTTTCGACTCCACTTCGAGCAATAGAACTATTAACAAAGCACTTATATACTAATAAAGGACTGGCTTATCTAAAGCCAGTTGAGTAGCACTTGAAATGTTTTAGCTCTATGAAACCTGATGTACTTATATGATTCTGTTTTCTTCAAGTTTGTATTTTGTTGGTCGAACGCACTTATTGTACGTCGCTTTGGATAAAAGCGTCAGCTAAATGCAATGTAATGTAATGAATGACACACAAATTGGTTATCAAATGTTCTTAATCTGTCGCACACATATTTGCGGCGTAAATAATTTTTTGGGCGGTTGTGACCTGGAAGCAGACAAAATGTGTTGAAAGTTAGGGAACGAATATAAATACCAATCAAATCTAATAGTGAAATGTTTACATTGTGCAATCAACATTTACGTTATATCAATATAAGAGTAAAAAATGCCCCTTTTGCCCCTTTAACAAGTAGATTTGCTTTTTTATTTTATTTGCTGACATTGTCTTCTGGTTTCCATTTCTCCCAGGGTTCAATGGGACAGAACAGGTATCCCTGCACAAACGCGGCTGCCTGAGCAGCACTCTGTGTGGGACACTACTGGACAGCAACTTGCTCGGTGAAGGATTCACTGCGTTCCTCCAGTGTTGTGCATTTAACCTGTGTAACGGAGCTGCGTCTGTCCAGCTGTCTGTGACTGCAGCCCTCTCTGCCGCCATGCTGTCCTCTCTGTGGGGCTTGTTGTAGTTGTACATTACCTGTTTGTTTCTACAGCAGTCCCCTGAGAAGATATGTTCACTTTTTGCACTTATTATGATATGAAGTGATCATTATAAATCAGAATACTTTATTATTTACTTTGATTTGTCCTATCTACTATGTATTCAAAAGATCATTTTCCAACCTATGAAGCATCAATAAAAAGCATCACTATGATATGTTTTTTTTGTGTTGTCATCATTGAAACAGTATTTGAGGAAATAGGTGATCAGAGGTGTGAAGTGGGGTAAAGAGAAGTCAGAGGTAGAGCAGTGTGACATAAGCTCGAGGAGGTTGCCAGTTATATGAGTAGGCGGGGATGGAGACAGTTATTCAAAAAATGATTTTAGCAGGAGTAGTAAATCAGACAGCTTCTCTTTTGAGGTGATTTAGTCACCAAGAAGTACAAGCTGCAGACCAGTGTCAAGTGTCAAGGATCTAGTTCCACAAGAAAATCCCCCAATAGGACGGTAGAGGACAACAATAACAGCGTTAACTTAAAAAGAAGGAGAAAATGTGGAAAAACTCAATTGGGAGTTAAGAAGACCAGTGGGTCTGGGTGTGTGGATTTGTCTGGTGTGATCCAAGTCTCACTGACTGTAAGGAAATCCAGGGATTGATGGAAGGCGTAGCCAGAAATTAACCTTGTCTTAGCAGACTTAGTAGCAGACTGGCAGTTCCCCAGGACGCCTGTGACAAAGCGATTTGTGTAAGTAGAACGAGAAAACAGAAAATTGGCCAACTTAAATTTGGATTTGCGCCCACTAGACTCCTTCAAGGCTCCTTTGTCTTTAGTTGTCTTTGTCTGACAGGGCTGATACTTCAAGAAAATACTGGTTTATGAGGACACATGCTTCATTAAATCGTTGGTTGTTGGCTAGAGCTCCACATCACTATGTAACACTCGCTCCTATATTGGCTAGCGCTCAAACACATTGTACAGGCTAAAGGGTGTGACATCTCTAAGTTGTCGACCAATCACAACAGAGCCGGCCAGCTAACCAATCAGAGCAGACTGGGCTCTGGTTTCAGGCAGAGGGGGGAAAGAGGTGCAGCAACACAAGCAGTATGAGAAACATAAAGCTTTTTTGAACATTAAGGCATGTAATCATGTCACAGTAGAGGCACAAAATACAAATATGAACCTGGAAGTGAGCATATGAGGGCCCTTTCATGTCGAAATCTTAGAGCTAAAAACATTCTTTAAATGTTGTAATACGTTGCAATTTTCCTTCATCACATCAGGTGTTGGTAAAAAATAAATGAAGACAAAAATGATACATCAAATTTCAGTGATATAGAATAATTCGGAAGATGGCCTTGGGAAACAACAACCTCTTATTACAGAAGGTTTTTCTTTATTCGATTGTGAAACTGCGTTTCACTCAGCGAGAGTGGAACATTTTCCTTTTTGACCAAAGAAGAAGTTTTACAAAGAAATCAATAAAATAAAGAAGCAAAACTAATACTGCACAGTGGGGCGGATCTAGACAAATATGCATGGGGTGGCAAGAGGGTGGCAGGAGATTTTGAGGGGTGGCATCCCCTGACAGAAGTATATGCTGATTTAAATCGCAATCATATCAATCAATTAGGGGTGTAACGGTACCCGTACTGAAATTATTCGGTACGGGCCCTTCGGTTCGGTACCGAACGAATATAGCGTTAAACGTAAAAAATTGAGAACATGAACAACTTTCTGGAAATAATCTCAGGTATATATCATAGAGCGAGCAAGTCATTTCATTGGATGAGAGGCATACTATGAGAGCTGGTCACAGGGATGCGTTCATATGTAGTCAGTAATTTGAGGAACTGTCGAAATGGCGAACGCAGATAAAGTTGAGCTCGAAAATCCTCCAGCATCATTGAAGTCTCCGGTTTTGGAACATTTTGGTTTCGCAGTTACGTACAAGGATGACGGACAAAGACAGGTGGACTGAACCAAAGCTGTTTGTCGGCATTGTTCAACTAACATTGGTTACGCGGCTGGCAATACATCACACTCATTTGAAAAGGCATCACCCGAATGTGAATATCACCGGTACCAAAAGAAAATGACTGAAGTGCAAACCCAACTCCCACTAGCATTTAAGCCTCCACCACTCGCAGAAAGTTCAGACCGAGCCAAAGCTATTACAAACACCAAATATCCTTATGTTGCCATGTTAGCAAAGCGCTACCTGGCTGTATCTGCTGCCACTGTCCCTAGCGAGGGTGTTCTCCACAGCAGGAGACATGGTTAGTGCCAGCAGATCTGCCATTTCAGCAAGCAATGTGGACAAGTTCATCTTTCTTTAAACAACATGAAAATACAATGACAAGCAAGTCCTAATGTCAAGCTGGCTGCTTAGGTACTAGTACAGTTCAAATACAGATTATTTCAGTTCATCGAAATGCTGCACCTTAATGTTTATTTTACTATATTTTGTATTTATTTGAATACATTAGTCACAGTTTAATAATAATTTTAAAAAAATATTTTATGTTTTGTGATAATTGTTTCTGCTGTACCGAAAACGTAACGAACCGAACCGAACCGTGACCTAAAACCGAGGTACGTACTGAACCGAAATGTTTGTGAACCGTTACACCCCTACAATCAATGTTAACTTGGAAAGCCACAATATTAATATTTTAACTCAATCACATAGGTGATATTATTGTGGCACATCAGTAAAGCCTTACAAGGTGGCAGATGTAATTTAATGAATTTTAACTGAACAATAACTGAATGAGTTTGTCTCACTCTTAGACCAGTAGGAGTACCAAATCTATGCAGACTGCTGCAATAAGTACATTAATTAACTGTCTCATTGATGTTTGTCTGAATGAATATGATACTATTAACAATCATATTATTCCTATCAGCTGTCAATCACTGTTAATAAATAATAATAGATTTAATTTGTTAGCGCTTTTACAGGTGCTCAAAGACGCTTTACAGATATAGTGAAGAACTGTTATGATTCACATATTCATTTAATAAACTATATTTTTTGGAGGAGTTAATGATGAATGTTCATCAAGATGCTTGCTCGCCCTCCTTCAAATTTGAAAACAAGTAATTATATCATTATTGATATACAGTTACAACCTTGACTTTACATCAGAAAGAACAAACATTAAAGAAGTGACTAACTGCATCAGTTAGGGTTAAAAAAACGTGTATTCAGCTAAAACATCGCTGCAGTTATTATCCAGTGGAAGGTCCTTACCTACTGGCCTAGTTAAATCAAAGTGGTTACTTTCTGTTGGCTGGGCAGTGTAGTTTTACACACCGTCTTATTTTACTTTCTCAGGACTTAAAACTGTTTTTTGGGGGCAGACCCCCTCAAAGAAAAAAATATATACACGCATACAAGGTCATTATCTTAACAGTTTGTTATTCTCATCGAGTCATCCGTGAGCAGAGCATCAAGTTGGCATGTCTATTAAAGCTGAATGCGGCGATTACTATTTTGTTCAGCAAAACGCCTCACAAACGTATTAAGATCAACAGCTGTAGTGCGTTTTGATTCAATGCTGAGTACAGCCAAACTGACAGTCTCTGTCATTGTAGATCGCAACTACCTCATTCCTTCAGTGCTTGGGTCCGAATGCTTCTCGTTTTGCGCCGTCCCCCCGTTCAAGTGAATTCGCCACCAATCATATTTCCACTCTCGCGCCAGGACCGGGGGAGGGGTTACATGACGTGCATCTTGTGCTGCATTCACTTGCACTCGGACATTAGAGACTTTCTCTCATAAATGTCCGATGAGCCACAACTTTTCTTTCAAAAACAAAGATGCCAACTGGGGTGGCAGCTGGGGTGGCAAGGCTATTGTTTAGGGTGGCAGTTGCCACCCCATGCCACCCCGGTAGATCCGCCCCTGTCAGCACTGAAGATCTTGTATGTGGACATTGTGGACAAAGCTCTTTTTAAAGGTGACATGTCATGCTTTTCCGGTTATTACCCATCCCCTTGTGTGTTATGAAGGTTTGTATGCATGTATATGGTGTGCAGAGTCAAAACCATGTACACCATGTAGCGAGTAAAACTCTAAAACAGAAAATACCTCCCAAAACGCCTCGTTGGAGATACGTCACTGTCCATTTGATTCTTCCGGGTACATCATGATGTCATATCGTCCCCGGAACGAAATGGACCAATCCGTGGAGCCGTTACGTTACGTCCGCGGAGCCGTTACGTTAAGCCCCCGCTGATTGGTCCAAATTGACCAATCCACGGACTTCCTCACACACTAGTGCAGGCAGTTCTGCTGATTTCTCCTCCCTGGCTGCAGGCTGATAACAGACAGTTGGGATCGCAACGAAATTCTCTCTGCAGACCCATTCTCACAGCGTTTATCAACCTTTTTCTTACTCAATATCAAGCCACACTTATTGTTTTTACTTCGGCTGTGACTTTGTGTGTGCTCAGGGTGAGTTTGGCTGTGTATCGCTAAACAACACCTCCACGGAGCTCAGCGCGATTCACAACGTCCCGACCAGAGCCCTAGAGAGATAAGAGTTACGACACTCTTTGATGTCGCCGCCAGCCGGTCACGTGGTTTATGTATGCCGGGATAGTTCAAAACGCACTTCCGTTGCAATGCTTCTCTATGGCAAAAACAGCACAAACATGGTCAAAATAGTCAGATTAAACCAACGCTGTTATTTTTTAAAGATTGCTTTCATATTTACATGATGTGGTTACACTTTGTATGGATTGGCACTATTTATAAGTTTCGTTATTTAACGATATTTTGAGGGGAACAAGCAGGCTATGTTGCTGTCACTGCCAGGGCAGTCACGTCCGTAGTATAGTTGCGCTGCGCTGTCATGTTCTTCTATGGGACAGACAGCAGCGATTGCGTTATTGAATGGTAAATATATATATATTAAAAAAACACACACACCCAAGTACTTTTTCAGCTGTAATTGTATTATTGCATACTTTTTATTGACAGTTTTGCATTTGGAGAGGCAGGGTGACAACGGAAAGCTTGGTAGCCTATTACTTAGATACGTTTTACATTTTTGGAGGGAAACGTTTGTGTTCATGTTAGCATGGGTAGCAGGATCATGTTAAGACTATGAATATCATTTTACCACAACAGTGGATGAACAATTGATATATGTGTTTGAACAAGAACAACAGGAAGAACAAAGTAAAGGGACGAACAAATGTGTGAACAAGTATTAAGAACAGTGTATGGAAAAAGTGATGTGATGTGGGATGTGTGTTAGAACAAAACAAAGTCAAATGAATGAGAAGGAGAACAAAGAGGGTTAGGGTTCAACAGAAAAAGATTAATTCAGCCAAAAAACACAATTTTAATTAATCTAAAGTGTAAAACAATCTTCAACACAGACCAAATTAGTGCCCTTGGACAACAAAACATGGTGGGGCAAATAAACGATAAATTAAATTGAGAGAGTGGGAGACTGAAAATGATTACTATGATAAATATTCAAACTATTTACAAAACTATTTACAGAAGCTCCTGTTGAACCAGCAACAAAAACAGGTTTGTCAACAATAACGAGGCCACTTTGCCAGGGGGAGGTGATCCAGCGACGAGACAATAAAGCAATTCATATTAGGTTCTGTTGAGACACTACAGAATATAAAACCTTCCAAGCCATGACCTCTGCCTGAAATCAGGACCACTCAGAGGAGAATGCAGCACATCAAACTGGAGTCAGGAGTGTGAATAACACATTTTGGCCAAAACAAATTGTTGCTTACCAATACAGTGACTGAACATTGGACACCAAAAAGTTTGACCTCATGTCGTCACGCAACACTGTTACTGCCCTAAGTCATTTCAAGATGGAGGAGTATGATAAGGCCATCAGCTTCCTCCGGGACTCCATCCATCTGTTTCGGGGCCTGAAGATCGGTCCCAAGGGCAGCTGGAAACCAGTCCAGACAGGACTGGTGATGGCCACAACAACAATCCTGGAGGTCCAGCATGACCTGTTGAGACAAGGGCACAAATTTGTTCTCACAAGCCGCTTCACTCAAGACTGCCTGGAAAACACATTTTCGTCCATTCGTCTGAGGAACTCTGTCCCAACACCTGTAGAGTTCCAATATGCTCTGCGCGCTGTCACTGTGGGTGAAAAAAAAAAGTGCTAATTTTTTTTTTTTAAGTGTTTATTTTGTTAAAAATAAACATTTTGGATGCATGAAGGAATGAAGGATGAGCCTAAAAGACTCATCCTTCATTCACTGCTGTAGAGTAGCCTATTCAGTAGGCTATTATTTGTTTAAGACTGAATAATACCTTTGAAGAACAATCATTAAACTAGTGTGTATATTACAATACAAAGGAATCTATCCTAGCATGCCATCAAGCATTAAAAAGTAGCGCTAGGCTAGTTGTACAGTACAGATGAGTTAACACGGAACAGTACCAACAAAAAAAAAGTACAGTCAACATGTCACATAATGAAATGTTAGTATATCCCAAAATTCAATGAAATATTAAATGAAATATTTATCACAAACGCCACCTCATTTCTACTAGTGCTAGCAGTTAAGTCATATCATACAGACAAAGTCGACAAAGGATGGCTGACACGGTCAGGTTCAGCAGATAAAAACCAAAATAACAATAAAAACACATAATCAATCTAAATCCTGCTTGTTAGTTACCCAGCATCATTGATATATAAGCTGCTAGCGATTCATTACTGAAATCTTACCTTCAAAGCTGACGAAGTCGCGCTAGCTAACTAGCAGGCAATGCTAGCTAAATTGGTTGTAACAACCAAGATAACATATAGATAATTACGCTGTGCATATACAAATGAAGACCAGTATAAGCATCATAAAGGGCCTCTGATACAATATAGACAGTTGACAATTCAAAAGAGTTCGATATTTCAGCAACTTACCTCTGGAACTAATCGACGCGCCGTAATGTAAGTGAATGAGGTTCAACGCCCAAATGACAATATTTTTGAACTATTTCGATGTCCATACCCCGGAAGTAGGCGCCGCCATTTTTTACAACGGAGGTCTATGGGAGTGTCGTAACTCTTATCTCTCTAGGGCTCTGGTCCCGACCAATCGGAGCACCCTGTGCTCACAGGGAGGGGGGGACAAGAGCTGCAACGAGCTGCAACGAGCCGTTTAGTGGAGAGAGTGAATACTGCTGAATACACATACTTTACAGAGATGCTGTATGCGAAACCAATGTGAGTTTGGAAAATTGCACAGTATAAATCTATTCTAGTAGACCACAACAATGGAATTATGATCAGTGGAAATGGCCATGACATGGGACCTTTAACATTTTCGTTTTTCCTCTGAGAGCAGAAAGCAAAGTGAAGCTCCATACCTCCCTCTACTGGCCCTTTATTATATTGCAGTTCACAACACAAGTGTGTTGAATTGAGAAGTGATTTTACCATAAGCATTTGTTACACTGGCTAATTTATCTGTGATCAGTCATGGCTGCCTGATACATAAACATCCAGCTAAAATAAAACATTGAACTACGAATGTCTTCCTAAAAGTGCTTGACCGACATCTATCGCATATTTAAATTCCATATGACTTTCTTAGCTATATTTTCATTAGAAGACCCGCTCTTATTATGTTTTTTTTTTTTTTTTAAACCTGTATTTACCTAAGACAAAGTGGTCTGATACACAATTATTTTTAATAGTTCAGGTATTTATGGACATGAGACGTAAGAGATTATACCGTGTAGGCTATATATAAACGTTTTTTTCTGAATAATGACAATGCAGAAAGTCATCATGGCATTAAAAGCTATTAAAATATATTACAAAACACATAAGCCAATTGAGACATTTCTTGAAGCAAATGTAAATAGTCACAAAGCATACAGGTCCATACATCCATAACTGCCACCACTTACCCAGTGCGTGTGCGTTTCTAGTTTATTCTACCTTACATTTCCATTCTGTGCTTAGTATATGTTATTGCATTTAATAATTATATATTTTCCTATTTTTACTCTCTTCTTATTTCTTATTGACTTCAGAGCCACTTTTGTCGTTGTCGCTCTTGAACGCCTCTCTGTGGAGCTCTGCCTTTCACGCAGCAGCAGGAAATGGTGATGAGAGAGAGAGAGAGAGAGAGAGAGAGAGAGAGAGAGAGAGAGAGAGAGAGAGAGAGAGAGAGAGAGGAGAGAGAGAGAGAGAGAGAGAGAGAGAGAGAGGAACTGGGAGGAGAAACCACACACACACACACACACAACTAAAGGCGACAACTAACTTTAAACACTTTCTAGGTAGCCCCTGCACACTTAAAATTATCTGAAATGTGTTATTTTATGCTTTAGACCAGCTAAAGTTAGGTTTGTGTAACGTTTACGCTGCGTTCGTGTTAGCTACAATGTTTAAATGTGTCCTTTACTGACTAGGCTTTGTAGCGGAAGATGGGCTTGGCTGCCCGAGTTTTTGTTTCTCGTTTAGGAAATGTAACTGCTGCCTTATTTTAACCACTTCTTCGTGTCCGCGGTTCTTCTTTTAAAGGGTTTCGTGCATCAGCAGGTGAATATGAGCGACGCGAATCAGACCAAAGTTGAACTTTTCGTGAAGGTAAGTGATTGAATGACACCCTGCCCCCTAAAGAATACAGTAAGTTTTGACACGGCGACAACATGTGACATTTATGTATTTAACGGGCTCCAGAAACGGTGTCTTTGAAGTGTCGTATCTTATTTTATAATCTGCATGCTCAGTGTATTGTTATCAAAAGCTGATACGATATCCCTTAGTGCTCGTATGAGTAGACATAAAGTCACCTTGGTCGTTTAAATCATAATACAGCCTCTTGTTTTAATATTCATGTCAGTCAGACCTCTGCTGACACACCGGGGTTATACATGACAGTAAAGCTAATCTAATTAAATGCTCGTTAACCCAATGGGCTGACGACTTTCATCTATATTTAGTAAGTATGGCAGGCTAATGCCACTTCCTTTGAGTCAAAAACTCTTAATACAACAAATATGGCTTCCCTTCATGGTCCCACATGTTTAAATAAAGATCTCTCTGTATGAACATGTGAACACCTCCCTCTACGCTTTTTTCCCTTCAGGGGTCAAAGATGCTGTTGTAACTTCTCTGAAAGCTAGTTTCTAGTCAGCCTCTTCAATGTTAATAACCTTAATGAACAGGAAGTATAGTTTCACATTGGCCACAGTATAGCAGAAAGCAGCGCCTTACTGTTTGAAACTGACTGTTCACACCACAGGACAAAGCCTTAATGACTGAACATAAAATATGTCTTCCTGCAGCCACGCAGGGAACATTTTCAGACTGTATGATCATTTCCTGAGCAGCATACAAGCTCTACGTAAATACAGAAATGAATCTTAGGTCTATTCAATTTGAGTTCGTTTTATAGGGTCACATCCTCTCAATAGCTTATTTTCTCCAAAGCAGCAATCCAAAAGCAAAGCCTCTAAATGTTTTAAAAGATAAAAAGGAACTACTCGAGAAAATGTGTCATATCTGCTTGAAAGTGACGTTTTTATTAATTGTTATAGTTCCTGACTGATTTGTATATCAACTGAATGGCGATGTTCATTATTTGGTCTACAAAATGTTAGTTATTTCATTTTGCTATCATATAGAGTTGAAACGCTTAGTCTTTAAATCGATTCATTAATGGTCAACTGTTTTGACAATCAATTAATTAATGAGGTCACTTTTAAACAAAAACTGACACAATTCAAGCTTCTCAATAATGAGGATGTTGTGCTTCTCTTATTCTACGTGATGATTAAAAGAGAGACATTTGAAGACTTCAGGTTGAGCTTAGGGGAATTGTGATTTTTAAGTTAAATTCTTATTCTTACCGACCTAATCATAAAAATCTTCATTATCATATGAGACTAAGAAAAGCAACAATGGATCCAGAGCGTTTTGTAATTTTTGCTTTAAAACATTATATCAGTGATTGATGTTAACAACGTAGTAGTTTATTCAAAGTAAAAGGTCCCAGTATGTGCCTCAACACAAAGGGCACTAGTCTACTATTAATGATGATAAGCAACTATTTAGATTATTAAATAATTGGTTTAAGTAATTTTTTTTTACTATTTTCAGTTATTTTTCTATGACAGTCAACTGAATATCTGTGAGTTAAGGGCAAAACAAGACATTAAGGATGTCCTCTCTGCCTTTGGGAATCACTAATAGACATTTTTCTAAACTTTCTGTCTTTAATCAATTAATTGACACTACATACTACAACACTCGAAGCCTATTTGAAACAATGGTCTGACCTATTTGAGGTAATATATCAGCACTTTTCTTTTTGTTCTGACATGGAATATTTATGGTTTATTGCACTTATTCTTAGTCTCTTTAGATAGAAGCGTCAGCTAAATGAAATGTAATAAAAATGGATCACATTTATTTGTTTTTGTGTCCCAGGCAGGGAGCGATGGTCAGAGCATCGGCAACTGTCCGTTCTCCCAGCGCCTCTTCATGGTGCTGTGGCTGAAAGGAGTCACCTTCGATGTGACAACAGTGGATATGAAGAGGTAAACACTGTGTGTGTGTGTGTGTGTGTGTGTGTGTGTGTGTGTGTGTGTGTGTGTGTGGTTGTGTGTGTGTGTGTGTGTGTGTGTGTGATGTGTGTGTGTGTGTGTGTGTGTGTGTAGTGTGTGTGTGTGTGTGTGTGTGTGTGTGTGTGTGTGTTGTGTGTGTGTGTGTGTGTGTGTGTGTGTGTGTGTGTGTGTGTGTGGGGTGGTGTGTGTGTGTGTGTGTGTGTGTGTGTGTGTGTGTGTGTGTGTGTGTGTGTGTGTGTGTGTGTGTGTGTGTGTGTGTGTGTGTGTGTGTGTGTGTGTGTGTGTGTGTGTAGTGTGTGTGTGTGTGTGTGTGTGTGTGTGTGTGTGTGTGTGTGTGTGTGTGTGTGTGTGTGTGTGTGTGTGTGTAGTGTGTGTGTGTGGTGTGGTGTGTGTGTGTGGTGTGGTGTGTGTGTGTGTGTGTGTGTGTGTGTGTGTGTGTGTGTGTGTGTGTGTGTGTGATATAAAACAACAAGAGGGCATTTTGTTCAGATATTGAGTGATTAACGACATAAAGCTACACTGACTTTGATTTGCATGACAGCTGTTGTGTTTAGAGCTTTTCCCCCACTATCCTTATACCTCTCTCCTGCTGTTTAATCCTCCATCTCTTTTCTTGGATTTCTGTTTGGCTGTTTTTGATGTTTTGTTTATTTCCTTCCACCTGTCAGGAAGCCGGACATCTTGAAGGATTTGGCTCCAGGTGCCCAGCCTCCCTTCCTGTTGTACGGCAGCGAGGTCAAAACGGACACCAACAAGATCGAGGAGTTTCTGGAGGAAAACCTCAGCCCTCCAAAGTAATCACTTCATATATCTGTTTTACAAAATGCTATATTTTGCTCTTTTCAGACCTGAGAAAGTTAGTTGATTGACACAAAATTAAACATAATTTCAGTCATTTCCTTACAAATATGTCCTGTCTTCAGCTTCTCAAAACTGAGAAATTGCTGCTTTTTCTTCTTTGTCTTCTGGGATCCTAAATGAAATATCTTTGAACAAAAACACGTTTATGTGGAGCTTAAACGGACATCAGAAAAATAATTGCTAACTGTTTGATAATAAGTGATTTTGTGTGCAAAAAATGCCAGAAAATCAGTTTTTCAGCCTCCCCAAAATATACATTTCCCGTTGTTCTCTGTTTTATATCCTATAGAACTGAATTTATTTGGGTTTTTAACAAAAAAAACAAGACATTAAAGACTTCACTTTGAGAAACTCTGATAAACATGTTATACACCAAAACAACTCATCGTTAAATCTAGAAAACATGTTTTAGTTGCTGCCTTATCTCAAAATATCATCTTGGTCTTAAGGACATTTCCAAGGCTATTTTTCATTATGTCCATATATTTTATGATAAATAATGAAAGCCACATTTTAATGTTATTGTTAGTTGCAGCACTCGTATAGCTTGCCTCTTACTTTGACTTCATTTGGTTTTGTGTCATTCTGTTTAAATCTTCTGGTCTAGATTAACATTAAATACACTCGCATTACATTTGAGTGAATGAATGTTTGTGATGACGATATTAACCCTCACCAATCCCTCTGTTTAGGTATCCCCGTCTGGTTGCCCGTAACCCAGAGTCCAACACAGCAGGCATGGATGTTTTCTCCAAATTCTCAGCTTACGTCAAGAACTCAAACCCTCAGACCAACGAAAGTAAGTAACTGATACTTCAAAATGAGAACTTCACTTAACTTTAGTTTGAATTCAAATGTAACCTGGACCTTTTAAAAGACTCGGTTGTTATCCAAGGTATTTTCTGCTGAGCTTCTTCTGTCTTTCTCTGAAGGACAGAAAACCAGCAGGGAGTTAATACCATTACAGTCTGAGCGTTTCTGCCACAGTTGAAACAGGTTGCCAGCTGCTCTCTGTGTTGTGATCTCATTGGAAATGGCAGTGTTGTTCCATTCAAGCCTTTCAAAAAAATAAATAAATTCAACTCTGTTCAAAAGACTTGGTTTTGCAGATATCTGAATATGTTCTGTGTGTGCTCAGACTTGGAGAAAGGCCTGCTGAAGGCTCTGAAGAAGCTGGACGACTACCTCGGCTCCCCACTTCCTGATGAAATTGACGAGAATAGCGCCGATGAGCTCACTTCTTCGTCCCGCCCCTTCCTGGACGGCCAACAGCTTACTCTGTCTGACTGCAACTTGCTGCCTAAGCTCCACATCATGAAGGTAATCTCCTGCTCTAAGCTGTGCAGCGCGGGGGCCTGGGAAGAGTAGATTATTATGTTGTTTTTGCGCTTAAACTGAAGACTTGGGTCCACCATGTTTTGTTGATTGTGTCTCTTATTCTCTCTCCAGGTGGTGTGTTTAAAATACCGAAACTTCAACATCCCCCAGTCCCTGACAAACCTCTGGAGGTACCTGAACGCAGCGTACATCAGGGAGGAGTTTGCCTCCACCTGCCCAATCGACGACGAGATCCACATCGCCTACTCCTCTGTAGCTAAAGCTCTCAAGTAGGAGCACACCAGGAGGCACAAGTCATATAACACATGCATAGATTACATAGAATACACAAGCACAAAAACACACACTTGCACACACACTCTGAAGCAACCTGGTCGATCTGTTTGTTCACTTTTTTACAGCTTTAAAATATACTAAATAGTTACATGGGGCCTTTTTTAAATCCTTGAACATTTGTGAATTTTAAGAAGAAAAAAAAAATCTAAAAAACTTTTGAGAATAGACATAAATAGACATGAGCTATTGACACCATATATTTTGCGTAGAAAAAACGTCCTTTGTTATTTATTTACTCAACATTAGTAAATAGGCCAATTCCTTCAGTTGTTGGGTCCTTGAATGTTAGTGAACTGGGCCAGATGTATTGATTGGGAACCCTGTTGATATCACCTTTGTATAATGTTAGTCAATATAGCTGGTTAATTATTGTCACCATGAGGTAAACAAGGAAGCGCTGGAGGCAGATAAGCTGAGGTTAAAACAAACACAAGCACAAAAAAAGCACTGTGGCAGAATTTACATTTCCTTCACAGTAACCTTGTTTAGGATTTTATCGATTGATCATGTTGTTTGCAGGTCACACACACACACACACACACACACACACACACACACACACACACACACACACACACACACACACACACACACACACACATTTAAAACTACAGCCTGTCTTGTGTCCAGTTTCACCATCAGTAGATACAGACTGTAAAGTTGTCTCTCGTTCCCTTACTGATGATGTATTTCTTTGTATATCTTTTAGCAGACACAAAGCTGCCTACCATATCAAATTGCCAGCCTCAAACAAAATGCTTCAACTCTTCTTTTCAGTCTTAGTATTAAGGAAGTGGTTTTCTTTTTTTAGGTCAAAATGTGTACCAGTGCCAATTTCTCTTTTGGGGTTTGCCTTTATTTTAGATTATTAAGAATGGATGTATTCATTCATTCCTGAGGGAACAAGGCCTTTTATACTTGAGGATTACAAATGTATTTTTTAAATCTACACTTTCTTATTCTTCACTTCAGAGAGGAAGTGGGGTGCTTTTCCTCGGCGGCCTGCAGACCGGGTCTCGCTTTAGGGAGGCAGAGCTGAGAACAGTTACACAGGAAACTCTTTCAATAGACCCGGGCTTCCCCTTTCTGCCCCCCCACAGTGGGTGGGAAGGATTATTCAAGATTACCGAGCTTGTTTGCGATCCGTTGATGCCCTCTTTTTTTATGAAGAATCCTTTTTAGTGTTATATAAAAGAAAAAGATCAGGTTGTTGGTGTTTGAAAGTGTGGATGAAGAAGCCGTTTACTGCTAATGTGCTGCAATAAAATCACTTGTACTGCCTCCTCTGGTCGCCTTGGGAACCAGACCCGTGCTGTTACATGTTTCTCATCAGGGGAAGACAAGGAAGTTAAATGTAAACATGCTCAATGTTTAAAATTGAAAATGCACTTAGATTGCCGTCCATTGTTAATTGAAAGTAAAGGTTTTTCTTATTGTCAATTAGTCCAATATAAACGTTTTTTATGAATTATCCGACCCAGTCTATGAATCTTAAGCCATTCATTTAAGAGTGTGTATTTGCAGGGGACTATTTTTAGCCGCGTAATAATACACACTTGCACTAGTCTATATTTTCAGCAGAAAAGTCTCAGAGTGGAGAATCTGGAGGCAACAAGAACATTTTGTTATAATTTGTAGAATAGAATAAATCTACTCTTGCTAGTCTGAAATCATTTTTGTTAAAGTGACTTGAAATGGATCTGCTTGGAAGAACTGGAAACAATAACCACACGTCTCATCCGAATATAACGGCAGCTTGCGTAGAGTAGACAACTTTATTAACTTAATTGCATCTATGCAAATGAACATGGGGGATGTTTGTAATTAAGATTTACACCGTAGGTCTGTTGTGACCTCATCATCTCTCTGGGATTAGAGTGAAGCTCTTAAAAATAAAATATAACCTAAGTGCAATTTAAGACGATTAAAAAGACAATCTTATACACAGACTTTTATTATGTTTTAGTATGAGCAGAGTATTTTTCGATATGATTTTAATTACATTCTTCCTTGAGGTGTTATTGAGGACAAGTGTTGATCAAAGAGATTAAAGTGTATATTTGATATTGACTGAAACTTTCTAAAAGTGGACCAACGTTTAAAGGGATAGTGTCTGAATAATTTCAGTGCTCATGTATTATTGTATTAGTATTGAGGAGCTTTTCACTTCTTACCTTGGGACTTGATTCGATTTCATTAAAATGTTACTTTAACTGGTTTGTTCTCACTTTTACTTTGTTTTGAGAGTCATATTTTGCCACTGTTTGTTTCATACATTCCCCTGCAACCCTGTTAACCTTTAGTGTTGTCCTTTTACATATCATGTAGCCAAAAGAGGATGCACTTAAAAGTCTTAAGAAAATGGCGTGGAAACTAAACCAGTAGATTCAAATAATCAATGAAAACAATCAAACTAGTAACACAACTGCAATGTATTTGGATGTTCGAAGCCCTTTACAAGACGCATTTATTAAAATCCCAATAAATAACTATCTTGTTGAAAAATTCACATTTGACTGATGTTTCTTTTTTTAAATCCATTATGTGGGGTAACCACGTGAAGTCAAGAAGAAGACGTTCATAAGATGCACACAACAGCTTTTTCAGTTCCACACAAGCAGCAGGCCTACACTCAAAGCGATATTGAGTGGATATTAAATTGAGCACAAATAAGAAGAAAGCATCTCTTCAGTGTTTTATTAGTTAAATGATTCAGTTCTAAAAGTCATTTGGAGTTACATACAAAGGATATTCTCACATTCAAAACATCGCAAATATTTTGAGTTTCACCAAATAGTTGTTTTCAAAATGTAAAGACTTAAAGTTGTATTAGTTTAATGTAAGGAAACAACAGTCTGACAAATCATCAAACTTATCAAGTGTAAATAAAGATGATAAAGAGGTGAGTGATCATAAACCACTAGATGCGGTGAGAAGTAAATAAAGAACTATTATTCAGAAGTAAACAAAACTTTAACTTAAGAAAGATATAGTAATACCACAGTTTACAAATACTCTGTTACCAGTAGAAGTCCTGCAATCAAAATGTATTTAAGTAAAATCACAAAAAGTATTAGCATCATACTTACCAGAATTATATGTACTCATAATGCAACATAGCCTATTTCCAGATGATGCAGGTGGAGCTTTATTAAAGGGGTTCGTTTAATCTCTAATAATGCATCTTAATTTATTATTAATTTATATATTTTGGAGAATTCTATATTTGCTTCTAAAATGTAGTGGAGTTAATGTTTAAATAAGCATAAAATGGAAATACCCAAGTAAAGTACAAGTACCTAAATGCTGTTCAAGAGTATATGTACTTCCTTACACTCCACTACTGAGTACATATTTTCCAGGACCTTTATGCCTTGATATTCAGTGCCCAGGGGTGACACACACACACACACACACACACACACACACACACACACACACACACACACACACACACACACACACACACACACACACACACACACACACACACACACACCACACACACACACACACACACACACACACACACACACACACACACACACACACACACACACACCCTCCCCCTGTTGTTCAGGCCAGCAGCAGGCAGAGTGCGGGCAGCAGGCAGAGAGCCGCTCCTCTCCAGCTGAGGGCAGTAAATGTCCCGGCGGCGTTGCACAGGTCGCTGTCGCAGCAGACGTTGGTGTAGTTGAAGTAGAGTCCAGAGGCGTACTTCTGTCCACTCACTCCACACTGGGCCGGGACCGCACAGCTCTTCTCGTACATCGTCACTTCTAGAGAGCCTACGAAAGAAAAGAGAGGACTTTATGATTGGTGGTGCATTTAGTGATGGGGAGATAATACAAAATGATTCCAACAAATCAAAGGAGAAAGAGAACTACCACTAAAAAATAAATTATTACATTAAATATGACTAAATTGATTCTATTGCATAATTGTATTTTTAAACCTTCCTTTTAATTAATCTGCTTGTATTTCAAAAACATACTTTTCCTAATAAATGACATATTGAATATATTGCTAAATGTATGAATTGATTAAGAAAAGTCCATTGTCTACAGTGTTAAGTTTCCCATCTTATAACACTGCTACTTTACATTTTTCGTCTGAATACATTCAATCAAATTGATTTTCAGTTTTTATTTTAGAGATATTCTAAGATCTGAAAACAAGTGCTGGAATATACAGTATGAACATGTATATGTATTTCAAAAAGAGGGAAGTGGATGGTGTTAAAAGTAATGCATTTTTATGCTTGGTGTAATGTGAATTTCAAATTCAGTAGTGATACATATGAATAAGGTGTGTAGACAGAATGAGTTTTTACGACTCAAATTGTCTAGGTATACTGATTACAAATATATATCTGTGTGCATCTGGACCCGGTAACGACATTACCTATTGACGCAGCAACCACTGTAAGTTATATTCTTGTTTAATTAGACTTCTCTGTTTCATTTATTCGACTCTGTATAAATTGTTATTGTAGCTTTAACGGCTAAATCGCGTTTGAGAGATTTTAAATCTCAGATCTGCTCAGGCGAAACCTGCTTTACAGGTCTCAGCACTCAAGCCTGCATTAATATAGGCACGGCCAGTCTATTGTCGCCCATCAGCTGTAGATAGTTAACTGTGAACTGAGCAATCAGGCGTCCATTTTTGGGTAGCTCTTTCCTTGAGCGTCAGCTTCAGCGTCAGACAGCCGAAGACTGACAAAGACATTGGAGTCCTGCGGGAGTAAGACTGACAAAGACATTGGAGTCTTGCGGGAGTCACGAGGGAGGCAAAGAGGAGGCAAATCCTACTCTGATTGAGCTGGTGTCTTATTTATCTTTTCTTTAGTTTTCTAGCCCTTCATGCTATAATCATGTGTATTTTCTCCATTCCTGTTCATGTGTCTTCTCGCAATTATCACTGGCCCTGTGTATCTCCTAATCGATATAACCGGCCTGCTCTCGTCTATCCCACGTGCTCCACTGAGATCCAACAGCTAGTTGCAGGTGGCCTGTGGAACTGCCAGTCAGCTGTTACTAAGGCTGACTTCATCTCTGGCTACGCCTCCCTGCAGTCTCTGGATTTCCTTGCTCTCACTGAGACCTGGATTACTCCATCCAACACATCCACCCCAACAGCTCTCTCCACTGCATATTCCTTCTCCCATACACCCAGACCCACTGGCAGAGGAGGTGGCACTGGTCTCCTGCTATCTCCCAAATGGAGCTTTTCCCTCTTCAAGCTACCTAACTTCACTCCTTCCACCTTTGAATTCCATGCCGTCACAGTAACCCATCCTATACAGTTAACCATTGTTGTTCTCTACCGTCCACCAGGCGCCTTGGGGGACTTCTTGGAGGAATTAGATAATTTCCTCTCACTCATCCCTGAAACTGGCCCTCCCGCTGTACTTCTCGGAGACTTCAACCTCCAGACGGGGAAGATAGATGAACTAACATCTCTGTTAACCGCCTTTGCTTTCTCACTGTCTCCGTCCCCACCGACTCATAAAGCTGGCAATGTCCTTGATCTCATATTCTCAAGGAACTGCTCTACTTCTAACCTCTCTGTAAACCCGCTCCACACATCCGATCACTTCTTCATTTCATTCTCTCTATCCCTTTCCAAACATAACAAACTAATCTCTTCCCATCCTGCACTTGTCCGCCGTAACCTTCGCTCCCTCTCCCCCCCTACCTTTGCCTCGTCGGTGCTCTCAGCCCTCCCTTCCTCTGATTCGTTCCATCTCCTGCCTCCAAACTCTGCTGCAGAAACTCTCCTCTCTACTCTCTCATCCACTCTGGACTCGCTCTGTCCTCTCACATCTCGGCAGGCTCGTCAGTCCCCTCCTGCTCCCTGGCTAAATGATGCACTGCGTGCTAATAGAACCGTCCTTAGGGCAGCAGAGCGGAAATGGTGGAAATCCAAACACCGTGACGACCTCCTAACCTATCAAGCTCTCCTCTCCTCTTTCTCTGCTTCGATCTCTCAGGCAAAAAGCACTTTCTTTCAAGATAAGATCCAATCTTCCTATTCCAATCCTAAAAAACTATTTTCCATCTTCTCCACCCTCTTGGACCCTCCAAAAGCTCCTCCCCCCTCCTCACTTCTGTCAAGTGACTTTGTTACCCACTTTGAAAAAAAGGTTGATGATATTCGCTCTTCTTTTTCTGACTCACCTTTACTCACCGCTGGGTCACCAGACCCTCCTTCCACCAACACACTTACCTCCTTTTCCCCTCTCTCTCCAAGTGAGGTTCTTACCCTCATTACCTCTGCCCACCCTACCACCTGTCCTCTGGACCCTATCCCTTCAAACCTCCTTCAGACTATCGCTCCTGATATTCTACCGTTTCTCACCCATTTCATCAACACTTCTCTAACTTCTGGTCACTTTCCAAACAGTCTCAAGGAGGCAAGAGTAAACCCTCTCCTAAAGAAACCCACTCTCAACCCGTCTGATGTTATAAACTACAGGCATGTCTCTCTCCTCCCGTTCCTGTCTAAATCACTTGAACGTGCTGTCTTTAAACAACTCTCCTGTTATCTCAATCAGAACAACCTTCTGGATCCGCACCAGTCTGGTTTCAAGGCAGGTCACTCCACAGAAACTGCTCTCATTGCTGTCACGGAGGAACTGCACACTGCCAAAACTGCATCCCTCTCCTCTGTCATCATCCTATTGGACCTGTCTGCCGCATTCGACACGGTGAATCATCAGATCCTCCTTCGCACTCTCCAAAAACTTGGAGTTTCAGGCTCTGCACTTTCCCTCCTCACCTCATACCTGAAAGACCGTACCTACAGGGTGACTTGGAGAGGGTCTGAGTCCGACCCTTGTCAATTAACTACGGGGGTCCCTCAGGGCTCTGTTCTTGGTCCCCTCCTCTTCTCCGTGTACACAAACTCGCTCGGATCAGTCATTAGCCCGCATGGTTTTTCTTACCACTGCTACGCTGATGACACCCAATTAATTCTGTCCTTTCCCCGCTCAGAGACCCAGGTCGTTGCACGCATCTCTGCTTGTCTAGCTGACATCTCTCAGTGGATGTCTGCTCACCACCTCAAGCTCAACCTTGACAAGACTGAGCTGCTCTTCCTCCCGGGAAAAGATTGTCCCACTCTTGACCTAACAATCAACATTGGCACCTCAGTTGTTTCCCCGACTCAGACTGCAAGGAATCTGGGTGTGACCCTAGATAACAACCTGTCCTTCACTGCAAACATCGCTGCTACAACCCGTTGCTGCAGATACACGCTTTACAACATCAGGAAGATATGTCCCCAGTTGACTCAGAAAGCGACTCAGGTTCTGGTCCAGGCTCTCGTCATCTCACGCCTAGACTACTGCAACTCCCTCCTGGCTGGTCTACCTGCATGTGCCATCCGACCTCTGCAGCTCATCCAGAATGCAGCGGCTCGTCTGGTCTTCAACCTTCCTAAATTCTCCCACACCACTCCGCTCCTCCGCTCCCTTCACTGGCTTCCGGTAACTGCTAGAATCCACTTCAAGACACTGGTACTTGCTTACCATGCTGCGAATGGATCTGGCCCTTCCTACATCCAGGACATGGTTAAACCGTACACCCCAGCGCGTGCACTACGCTCTGCATCAGCCAAACGACTCGTTGCGCCCTCGCTGCGAGGGGGACCCAAGTTCCCATCGGCGAAAACACGTGGGTTTGCTGTCCTGGCTCCAAGATGGTGGAATGAGCTCCCCATTGACATCAGGACGGCAGATAGCTTGCACATCTTCCGGCGCAAACTGAAAACTCAACTCTTTCGACTCCACTTCGAGCGTTAGAACTATTAACGAAGCACTTTTATACTAATATAGGACTGGCTTACCTAAAGCCAGTGGAGTAGCACTTGAAATGTTTGGCTCTATGAAACCTGATGTACTTATATGATTCTGTTTTCTTCAAGGTTGTGTCTTCCTGGTCGAATGTACTTATTGTAAGTCGCTTTGGATAAAAGCGTCAGCTAAATGCAATGTAATGTAATGTAATGTAATGTAATATATATTGTACTGAATACTACAAAAGATTTTGTACAACATTGATGCTATTGACAAAATAATCACAAGGGAATGTCAGTACGTTTTGGCAGTGTTTCTTATCGACCACATTTTACACCTTAAAGTTATAGTGACATCAAATGATTTTTGGGTCATACTTTGGAGGAACAAGGAGGTAAACAACTAAAAGCTAAGGCTGTTAAATCGCCACTGTCCCACAGAGGGCTCACAATCAAATGCAGCCCTGTATTTACTGGTTAAGGTGCATGTAAAAGAAACAGAGCTGTATCCTCCGATGAGACACAGTGAACGCTTGGCCCCACCCACAGAGCCCAGAGAGCTATTTTTAGAGATGATTTGATGGCATCACAGGCAAAGTGAACTGACAACCGGCTGGATGAGAAACTGTGCTGAGATCTGATCTATTGAGTCACAGTGTTGTTTTGTTTTTACACCTGTGTTGAGACAGGATCATGCCTGAAAGAAGGCCTTAAAAAACATTTTTATTCTAGTATCCTTTGCTGCAACATACAAACATCTTACTGTATATGTGGACAATGATGTTTGGCTCTGAAAGAGATGATTTAAGGATTTATCTGGTTGATTGACTTAAAACTGTTATTTTACACAGGTTTTATTATAGATTGGAAAGTTTCCTCGGTTTTCCTCAGACAAATTATGCAGGTAACTAAATGTGGCTGCTTCTCATAAACAGACGTGGTGCACAGGATTTAAAACAAAACCACTATAAGAGATTTCAATTCAGCTTTTAGCACCCTCTGCCTACATTGGGAGGGCAGTGTAGGGATTCAACCACAAAAATGACTACAGTTTCTACACAGTTCTTAAGATGTGGGTGTGAAACACCTTCAATTATAGATGATAGTCAGCACTTAACTTAATAACCACGATTCTCTTCAAATCCAAAACAACTGTCCTGATGCACTGTATATTGACACAGACATATGCACAGACTGCACTGTGAATTTCAGAAATCTGTTCCCAACAATGAGGCTTTGTCTTCCAATTTGTGATCCTCCTGACCTAGATTATTAGATATGATGTCATGTACAGACACAGAAATAAACACACACACACAGGATCTTACCTCGTCTTCCTGTGGCAGTACTGGACAGGCAGCGCTGCCCAGCCGGACACTCCTGAGGGAACTTGAAGCAGTCCAGAGGAGAGATGGCCGGGAACATACAGGTGTAACAGGTCAAACAGGCTGAGGGAAACAACAGGAACAATGTTATAAGTTTATTCTGAGACTGATCTCATCAACAATTATTGATTGAGTCTATAACAGTTTTGATATGAATGCTTTCCTTTTGTTATTAAAGAAATGTGACAAAGTTATGTACTGAACAGGACAGTTCACAAAAGTAACAGTTTATTACAGTGTAAGGTATGCTACTAGTCAGTGCTTGCTGCAATGCCACTGTAGGATCGTTGACTGATGATTAACTTTTTTCTGTTTGATGCACACTTCTCTCAGAGGGAATCCTAAAACATCTTGGATAATATAACATTGAAAAGTAGTGTTGTTGTTTTTTTCTTAAAGTACCACATAGCATCAATTTGCATGGTTGGATAAACCTCATCTCACCCTGAATGCCGCCCCGTATTTTCGTAGTTTCTTTGAAAAGAGTGTAAAATATAAGCTAATGGCATCATCTAGTCTTCCTGGAGTACGAAAGGCTTGCCGTGAATTATGCCTGCAGTGGATGCTCTAATCAAATTATCCTCTGCAATCGGATTAAGCAATAAGGACATACTCGTGATTTTAGCAAATAATCACATCTATCATATCCATGAGACTCTGAAGAGACATTTGTATGAATTTGGCCTATTCAGAAGAAATAAAACAACTGATGTGGATGAGGAGATAGCTATGTGCATTAGGAACTGCTATTATTGCTCCTCCTCACCAACTTTTGTGTGAGTCTCTGTTTACCTGCGCCATCAGTGGTGTGATGAGGTTGACCCACACTTGCAAAGTGAAGCGATGTGGTTGCTGCAAGAAAAAAGCACTGTTTTTCCAAAGTTTTTCTCTCAACTTAAATACATGTCGGTTTTCTCCTAGATGTACCTATTGAATCCTGTTTTGCCTCAAGAAGATATACACAATTCAGTTGTAAGTCACTGTTAACACATTATATAATAACATAACATAAGTGTTTAAATGTCATCTTGTAATAGTTTGACTTGTAAATACATACCTGCTAAAGGTAGACAGAAGAGGAGTACGATCCCGAGTTGTAAACAAGACATGATGCTTTCAGTAAGAAGTCTTTCAAACTATTTTCAGATAAATATTCAAGCAGATCCAAAAGCCCCTCTTGGGACGTTACAGCTCTCTATTCAAACGTACTGCTGATCCGATACGTCCCACAACACATTCCTAAATTGAATTAATTTTTGTCTGTGAAGTCTAAACCCACACCCTCGTCTTTTTCTTTCTTTTTCTTCCACTGTATTTTAAGTAAAGCTGTTCTCTCTTTATGTCACTCTTGGTCCTGCCTTGTACGTTTTGCCCCCTGTTACTCAGTGACTCCTCCCTAAAACTTCTGATTTCCTTTAGAGTGGTTGTTAGGATCAGCTGACCTCACAGAAAAGGAGCTTCAAGTGAAGACACACCAAAGAAATGTCCTCAGTAATATTAATGTGAATTGCGGGTTTTAATAACAAAGAGAGTTTATATGCTATGATGACACAAGAAGGAAGATTTGGCTTTGACATGATTATTTTCCTCCTGGAATAGTAAATGCAATCTACCCGGGCAATTTGACAGACTAAGAAATAGACCAAAACAAGTATAATTGAGAAGGTTTATTTACAGTACCGATGTTTCTTATGTATTTCTGCTGTGTTTGTGTTTATCTTTCGTGAAACAATATGTTCCATATCTAAACTATACAAGTTTTGTGTTTTTTTTAATGCTTTATTTTTTCAGGTTGTCCATAACTTTGTTCATCCCATTTTCATTGTCACAATATCTTAGAAACAACTTTATTTCAAATGTGGCAAAAACTTCCACTTGGACTCAAGTAAAAAGTGGTTCAAATGTGGGGGTCAAAGGTCAAGCTCAATGTTACCTCAGAAAACTAGTTCTGGGACATATTTTAAGAATTTTACGGGGATTATGACAGTTTCAAAGTCAACACATTTTCGACAGACATGGACGTAAACTGCATCATGACTGGTTGGCTGTGCATACAACCAGGAGGTGGTAATTTCAGTTTATATCTATTTGGTAATTGACTTGTGTTTTGGGTTCCTTGTAGCTTTAGACTTTGTTTAGTTTGACATATAAGGGTTTTAGCATGGGTTAGGGACAGATGTAAATGTGCTAAACAAACACAAAAGAATATCAAATAGAAAGTCTGCGAGAATTATGATTTATTAGAGGATTATTAAAATGTACTTTTACTCTATTACAACGCTAAGAGTTTTGTTGGGGCAGGGGCTACATTTTAGGTATAATCTCAGTATTTTTACAACTCTGGCTACAGTGTTGTTCTCTATGATCTTGTAAGATTTTTTGACTTGATATATATTTGGTTAGGGGTTTATGTGTTGTGTATGAGACAGCAGCTAAGCAGTCGGAAGAGACAGAAGGCACTAAAGTCAGCACACTGTAAATGGAGTCAGCATCTCCGAAAGAGAAAGAAAGCAGAGAGAGAACGAGAGCGTGACAGAGACTCAGTGGAGAGTGAGCAGTTTAACTGAATTATACTTTAGGGCGTAATGGAAGACATGAGGGTCGGACGGTCTGCTGACAGCAGTCTTGTGATGGAGTGAGTCGAGCAGGCTCAGACTGAATAAGCTGTTTACCAGTCGATTAGTGTCACACCACAGACTCCTGCTATAGGTGCAGAACAAAAAGTATTTACAAAGCATTTTCCTTAATTTCTCTTGTAAATCAGGGTTTTTATTTTCAGTCTGAATGTTTTATGTGGAAATGATAAGCTGGATATAAATCATGAAAGTATTTAAGGATTTATGACTTTCGTACCTGTGTTTGTTGATAAAGAAATTAATGTTTGAATAGAGTTTGGGTTGTCTCTTTAGCCTGTGGTGTTGACTTTGGATTCACTTTCTGAAGGGGTCCTGCAAATGGAAATCTTAAATATGATCACTTCTGTTAGATAAAAGAGATTTTATTTATTTAGAGCTCAGATATATATGATAATACGAGTTGAACAATTATTTAAGGAGGAAATGTGGTTCTCAGTTAGCACATCACTACCATTTGTTTTGGGCTTGCCCTTTAATAGTAACCTTTTGGCAAAAGTTCCATTTAGAAATGGAAATGGTACTACAGGAAAAAAATCATATTAAACTGGGACGAATTTCTATTTGGGCTGGTACATTCAATTCCCACAAACCTCAAAACAAAACAGTTATTTGGAATTCTTACTGTTTCAGCAAACAAAGTAATAACTAGAAAATGGCTCAAAGCGGACATCCCTTCTCTGGTACGACAAAATCCATGAAATGGATGTTATGGAAAGAATCACCATCTCAATGAGGCTTCAGGAAAACACATTTGAGGAAATATGGGAAAAATGGAGAATTTACAAATCCCAAAGATGACCATCCCTTGTTTGACTGTGTTTCTATACACCGATTGAATGTATATGTATAGGTGTGTATGTATGGACACATGTATGTATGTATGTATGTGTGTGTGTGTGTGTGTGTGTGTGTGTGTGTGTGTGTGTGTGTGTGTGTGTGTGTGTGTGTGTGTGTGTGTGTGTGTATATATGTATGTTGATATGTATGCATATGTACATGTGTAGACATTTGCCATTTCAAACAACCCCTGTGTACTTTTTCGTTTTTTTTAAAACTAATTTTGTTTGCTATTTCATTTGTCATTTTCGGGTCTCTAAAAATATATGATTTGAAAAACTGTACTTTTAATATAATGTGACCCCATATAAATAAAGAAGAAAAAAAGAAAAAAAAATTAAAACTGTAGCTGCATTGTCCAAAACTTCCAACACAATGTGGGAACAAAATCCCAAAACATTAACTGACAATGAAATTAATTGAGTATTGAGGGGAAACAAATACAAAACTGACGGGGTCTCAACTGGGGTGTCTGTGTGAGTTCATATTATTAACTTCAGCACAAATAACTGTTGGGTATTGCCTCTATGACCCAATCCTTAACAAATACAATGTATTTGTCTGCTGTGTTAGAGGAGATGGTTTTCTGAGGACGAGGTTTCATCAATATTTAACTGAATGGGTGTATATCGGACTGTTTTTGCACACAGTGTAGCAAGACTGCTGGTGCTATTTTGGCCTGGGATGTTTTGTGTGCTGGCTGAAGGATCTCAGTGGACAGATGGTGTTCTTTAATCCTGTCTGTGCCCTCTGCCTTCCATCCTCCATCCCCCATCCACTATTACATCAACCTCACATTTCCTGTCTCTTTCTCCTCCTCTGTGTACAGAAATACTCACGTATAATTTGTCCTTCTTTCGTCACGAGTTGCCTCTGTTTCTCCGACTGTCTTTTGAACAACCCTTTGCTGCAGTGACTCAATCTATTCAATAGAAGGGGATAGTGTGCAGCTCATTGAATCAAAAACATGTTTATGCATATTTACACTGCACTGACCTAAGAATATAAATTCCCAAAGTTTGATTAAAAAAAGACTACTCAGTGTCTGACAAACAAGTCAACAGTTTCCAACACAATTTGACCCACATGGAAAAGCCAGATTATTTGTTGTCGCGACACACAGTCGCAATGGCTAAGTAATACAGAATATAAGCATTTAATCTGTGATGATTTAAAGAAATGTGAACCAGATGAGGTTAACGTCATTAATTTAAAGAAAATTGGGAGAGGTAAAAAATAATCATTTGATTTAAAGCACACAGTCAATTTGCCTTCAAAAATTCAGCATAAAATCTAAAAGCAGTATCTGATGATACAGCATCTAACTTTACACAAACAATTCTCCAGGATTAAGAGGAGAATATTAAATATGGGTCCTTAATCCTAGAAAATCTTCTAGAACCGTTCCAATCTGTTCCAATTAATTCAGTGATACAGTAAAGGGTGTCAGAGTTGGTTTATACTAAGGCTAGCCAAAGTAGGGATTTCATCTGAGGGACATAAACTGTTAATGTATGAGCCAGCTAATGTGAAAATGTTAGAGGTGTTTAAATGACAAAACAAGACATTTAAATATATTACTTTTGACTTTGATTAATGTAAGAAATGTGCAGATTAGTGGATACTGAATAATTGTTATTGGTGGTGATAGTTGAGTCCTAAACAATGCTAATGAGTTAGATTTCCATTAACCAAATTGTCCAGCTAGTGCTAATTATATTGACGGTAATTGTTTAATTGTCATGTAAACCCTTATTTGTGACACCGTTTTGTTTCTATTCTATTTATATACATGTATAAAATCCCACTTTAGTTGTATAAACCTTAAAATCAAAGTAATTAAATCCGAGAGAAGAGGTTAATGAACTTGGAGATAGCCTACCACAGAATAGGCCTATCTAAAAGAGTAATTATAAAGTTGACTAACAGGCGCTATGGATCTTTTGCTCACCGTTATCGATTACCTTAATGTGTAGCTACACTCAACAGTATTGACAGCCGATACAACAGCAGCTGTGGTGACTGAAATCAGCGCTGATTGAATCCGGACAGGACGTGTGGGGGATGGGGGGTGCTAGATGAATGGGAGGTAGAGCTGCTGCATCAAGCGCAACTAAAATAGGCTACGTGAAGAAGACCGGAAGTTAGGCGATGTTGCTTTGAAAGAATAATAGTTTAATTTTCCCTCAAAGAAAAAACGCATTTTAATGATTTAATTTAGGCTGGACCACCATTGTTTAAAAGTTGTATTACATTGGCTACTTTTGATAAAGTGAGATTTTTTGTTTCAATTACCAACCCTATGGAAAATTAGTTGAAATGTTGACACAACATAGCCCTATCTCTCTTTTTCTCCTTAAAATAACACATTTATAGTATACAGTAACATAAAACATAAAAGCTATGATGTGATAGAAAGCCAAACCATAATTATTTTACAATTGTATCAAAACATGTAAACACAAGTTTAGAGATTCCTGTTCGTATGTTGAATGAAGTAAAAATAATTTTGAATTGCAGTGCACATTTTAAATTATTCACAGCAACATTTATGTAGAGTATTTTGTTCTGATAATAATGATATAATTAACTAAAACATCAATATAACAACCTTGTAGCCATCTTATTTTGAAAACGTAACCGGAACGGTGCGTGTTGATAGTCGCCATCTTGACCTGACCTGTAGTTGGTCGGCAGAGAAAGACAAGGCAGAGTAACGGGAACTGGGTCGGTTTGGAAATTAAAACTAACAGAATAAAACACGGCCGAGCGTGGAAGCTGCGACACTCCAAACAGGTAAGATACAACAATATACCTGTGTTTGTTATTTGTGCAACTTCTGGCAGTGTTGTGGATAGTTTGCTCTTTAAAAAGATGTGTAACATCATCAGAAGTATTTGAGAAGGAGCAGTGAACTGCTGGGCGGTGCACTCCTTCAACACTCAAGATGTTTTCTTCTGGGCTGAGGAGGTCCATATTCATTTTGCAGCTGGATAACTCAGAACTGCGTAGTTAGAAACATTGATTTTATTTAGTACCAAAACAGAAATGAGTGTAGCCTCCTAAATATGGCAAATCATATCAATAAAATACTGTTCCGCAAAGTAGCCTAACACTAATCTCAATAGTAGGTAGACTAACACAGGCTTAACATATCCTTAGTTTAGGCACTCTTAACTGGGATTGAATAGCCTAACATTTCCATTAAGTATTCATAATATACTCCTTAAGCTGTTATTATTACAAAATAAGATGCATATCCAAGTCCAGCACTTGTTGCATAAGTTATGATGCAGATTTAGGAAGCATCCTGTGTGGGAGTCCCATGTGCAGCCTCTCAGTGGGTGCCTGCTGTGAGTTACAGGGAAGATGATGAAAGGGCAATTGTCCCAGTTCCAACCCCCTGCCCAAACATGGAAAGGCTTAGCAGCATGTTGCAGGGGTACTAAATAGAGTTTTGTTGTAACAATGCTCCTCCTGTCCATGTTCAGCTGTTGTATCTCTGTTTGTTATTTCAGCTGCCCTTGAATGTTTTACCAGTGATACTGAGTCCTCCTCTTACAGATTAACAATAACAAATTCTCATTATGAATTCTTTATTGCCACACTTCATTTGAATCATTGGATAGTGTTATAGATATTGACTTGTGCAGCCTTGAAATATTTCCCAAAGAAGGCCCTTGTTCCATTGCATTTGTTAATATTTCCATCTCTGTCTGTGTTAGGCTGGGATCCTCTGTTTCCACTTCCTGGCATCTACAGACGGAGAAGTAGCTGGTGGAGTACTAGTACAGAAGAAGGGGTGAAAAGTGTGACAACTTTGGCTTCTGGCAACAAACTTCCTGGAAATACTTAGAGTTCTAAGTTTATTTAAAGCATGGCAAACATGTGCCCATATGGCCGCTTCACCCACGCCGTGGTGCGGGGCATCCCAGAGACCTTTGGGAAGGCAGGGGGAGACAGCCGTAAGAATGGAGAGACCTCGGTGGAGCTGGCCAAGGCTCAGCGTCAGTTCGGCTGCCTGACAGGAGCCCTGAGGCAGAAGGTGGGTCTGCAGCTGATCGAGATCCCCTCCGACCCCGAGCTGCCAGAGAGCTGGAGGATAGAGGATGTGGCCGTCATCCAGGGAGACACTGCGCTCATCACCAGGCCCTTTAAACAGCAGAGACGCAGCGAGGTAACACGGTGGAGAAGAACAAGCCCTGTCTGCACCCTAATCCTCTCAGAATGCACTTAATCTTGCTTTGTGGGATAAACAGCAGTGGCCATTTGTTTCAGGTCATATCAGTGTGGTACTAGAGGGAGACTATAGAGACTTCACTTGTTCACCATGACATGTAGTTGCATTTAATGGTGCATTATTCAAATATGGTAAAATAACCATATACATTTGTTAGATTCATTTTGGCAGCTAAACTATCTTATAACTTAGATGTCAGAGATTCCGTCGACACTTCATTAACGGGATCTGTCATTTCTAAAATGGGAATAAATACGAGAATGATGTCACTTTGTCACCGATTATAGTTCTGTAATATTTGAGCAAGTTCAGCTTAAAGACCTGAATTGCGTCCCAATAGTGGATTAAATAGAGATTTCCCATTAGCCACCTGCATTATAACCAAAATATATGAGGACACTTTCCTGTGCATCTAACCCTCTATAGGCTATACCCTGACAAACCTCTGTTATTCTAACATTATGATAATACTGTAATAATTACAACACAATGTAGTGAATTGCAGTTTGTTAAGAAATGGTTCCTTTAGTGTACTGTTCTTTGGAACTTGTTAGGCATTTAAGTATTTTTCGAGTGTATTAAATAGTACAAATGTTTTCAAGGAAACATGGGAACTTATGTTGATCCAGAAAAACATAGTCAAATGATCATACAAAATGTAGTTGAGTCTGAATATTTCTCTTTCCTCTTCATTTCTCCAGGCGGAGGCGGTGAGGAAGGTGGTGTCAGAGCTGAACCTGACCGTGGTGGAGATGGGGGCCGAGGAGGGGGACTCTGGAGGGGCGACGCTGGAGGGCAGCGACGTCCTCTTCACAGGGAGGGAGTTCTTTGTCGGCATCTCCTCACACACCAACCACAGAGGGGCGGAGGTGCTGGCAGACACTTTCAGGGTAAGTGGAGCGGAGAAAATATAGTAAGGACTGAATCTCTATGTGAAGCAACAGAGGGTATGTTTTCAGACTGTAGTAATAAAGAGTGTTAAACAAACAAAAAACACTCCAGACACTGAATCCAGCTGCCAGAGTGAGCAGGTGGCCGTTTGCTGCGTTGTGTTTGGGGATTAAAGGTCTATAAACTGTGATGAATGACGTTGTTCCATCGGCCAAATAATGACCACACAATCAAGCCCCTAATGCTTTACAGAACCCTTCCGTTAATATTGATCCTCCACTTCTCTTAAGTGCATTTTCCGTACTTCTGCTCCTCCTAAAAACACACACACACTTGGCATTCATGTTAAATGTGTGTGTGTCTTTTTTTTTTTTTGAATTAACATACGTTGTAGGACTCCTGGTCAGAATGGAGGATGAAAGAGGAAGACCAGCCGACTATTTACCTTCAATGCATTTTGATTTAACATTTCTACTCTAGCGTTTTCATGCGGTTCAATTTCCATAAAACAAACATTTAATGCTTTAAAGGGCTTTTTAGATATGTATTGTTGCATAGTTGTTATTGTGATATTAACACTAAGTGGTAGTGACAGTACAGCTTTATTCAATTATCTTTGGTCTGTTAGTCGTCCACTTCAGCTTTTGACTGAAGGATTACCATAAAGTTTGATTAAGACATTCAGTTTGCGTTTTTTAAACTGAGGACTTCAACACCCTCTCGTGTCACTTCATATTCCAAAAACCAGATGTTTACAGACATTTGATCAAAACACCTTGTAGCCTTGAGTAGCCTATGTTTCTCTTGATTAAATGTAAGTGCATTAAGCCCTACTAAAGGACTAGACTAAGAGGTAGCACCTGCACGACTGCCTCTGATCCTGCACAGGAAGCGCCAGAATCACACAGCTGGCCGCTTTGTGTAAAGATAGCAAATGTACAAGTACTTTTCCTGCTGAGACAGAAGTGCCCTCACTAGATAAGAGAACATGTCTCTTTTGATGTCTATCTTATCATCTGAACTTAACCTTTCAACTTCCATCTGAGCAGGACTTTGCTGTGTCCACTGTCCCTGTGTGCGGTGGAGCCCGACTGAGAAACATCTGCTCTATGGGGGGGCCAAACACAATCATCATCAGCAACAGTGATGGGGCCAAGAAGACACTCCGGGTAAGTGTGCATGTGTATTTGGTGTTGACGAGTAAATTGCCATACATTGTCTTATGAGGAATTGTTTGACTGGTTTTATTTTCCGGTTGTATAAGGGAATTTTCCAAAAATATGACTTTTAACCTTAAAGTTATGGTCTGTTTCAATAACACTGCGGCTAATACATTTAATTTAAGGTGTAACAAAACATGATATGAAAAAGGATAATTCCAAGCAAAATCCCAACATACATTTTGTAACTATTTGCAGTTAAATAAGGTCACAGAAAGTTAAACATCTATCTACTCAATATCATCCCTGTTTTCTATGATAGTGTGTTTCTCTTCTGTCCCTATGTGAAGTGCACACTCGATGTATACCCTTACTGCTGAGGTCATATTAATAACATCACTGGAGCCTGTGTGTAATGCTGGGAGCAGTCAGGGCGGTGCACATGGTAATAATAAGTGTGTGTTTGTCTCCAGATGATGGAACAGCTGACTGATCACCATTATGAAGTGCTCACTGTTCCAGAGGACTCGGCAGCAAACTGCATCTACATCAAAGGGCCGTCTAAACATGACTTCCTGCTCCACCGGCCTGCAGAGGAATGTCCTGACAGCGCCTCTGTGAGTACAGCTGAGGAGCTTCTTTTCTTAATGCAGGCCTAAGTTTAAAAAGAACAGTCTTTGTTCAATGAAAGCTTGGGTAGTCGCTATACTTTTGGGCAAAAGATAATCTCCAGCCTAAGCCCCTCTCGCTAGCCAGCAACTTCTTCCCCGAATCACTCGGTCCTATGAGTAAGTTGTGTCCTCCCTCCTCTCTGCAGGCCTTCCAGAAGCTCCAGGACTACACCCTCCTGCCTACTGCCTGCAGCGAGGCCTCCAAACTGGGAGCGTCTCTGTCCTCGCTCTGCCTCCTCGTCAACAGAAAGCACACTTATTTCTGAAAACACACTAACCATCAGTACATTAGTTGTACACGTGTTCATTGGAGCGAAGTCACAGAAACACTTTCCAGACTAACATTCTTGTCTATTTATTTCTAGGGGAAAACACTGACTCACAGTATTTGTATGAGATCCAAATGTAACATCTGCTAACTGATTTCCAGCACAGCTGTACAAACAGCACATCACCCTGGTTTAACCACTACATTCAACTTGAGTCCACTGAGCAGTCAATCATATTTAATGAAACAGAATAAAATGTATAATGGAAAACCAGTCAAATGTCTTAAAGTTCAGTTTTCCAATACCTTGTTTTGATAATTAGAATGACCTGTATACTTACAGGTTGAATGAGGAACCTATATTCATTGTTTAAGACTTGCCGATCCTGTGGTACAAATACATTTAGCCAGATGTGACTCTACGTGCTGAATAATCTGTAGCTGCTAATGGAACCAGTTTGAATTGGTTCAGCTTTCTTGTGTGTAGAGATGCCAATAAAATTATTCTGACAAACTGTCTATTGTCATTTAACTTCACTGTCCAATAAGCGAAACAAGTGTGGAAGTGCGTAAAAGAAAGGATTTGTGACATCAATGGAATTTCTTCAAATTTATTTGTTTTGGTAGAAAGAAAACATGTTAACGGTTGGACTTGGCAACTCTCTCCAACTCGTCCTTCTTCTTGATGGCGTAGGAGTTAGACGAACCCTGAAATTAGGAGAAGAGGGCTGCTTAGTTTAACATGCAGTCACAGGACAATATACAAACTGAAGACCAGAAATGGAAGTGAAATGTCAGGCAAAAATAAAAGACACTTTCTTTAAATTTTAAACACCCCATATGAGATAAACAAGAGAAACATTATTGTTTGGTGAATTTAACGCTGGTCGGTAGTGTAATGTATCTTTGTTGGTGATTGACTGGGCCACAAGAGACTACAGCCAATGAATAAGCAAAGATATTTCCTCTACGAGCACTCTAGCACACCAGGACAACGGGTGTATCCAGGCGTGACTCTAGCCTCGCTTTATGCACAAAATACAAACAGTTATTACAGAAAATTAAACATGAAGTCAAACATAATCTGAGGTTCCTCTACAGCAAACATTTATTTCAATCTGCCATGATGGGATTTTGGAGTTGGACGGAGACTTTGATCACTGGTCACCATTTGCTCTATTGCAGCCTCCAAATATGAGTTTAAATCAGCCGTAATCAGAACTACAGACTGCATTGTGTTAAGGTACTGCTTCAACGCTACTTACAAATCAATGCACAAGCATCAGAAGCGTGCAATAATAGGAATGATATCAAGTTCTCTTCAACAGCTATTACACACAGCACTTCAATCAGATAGTGAGCATGCTATAAGTGAATAAACCGTTACCTTCGCGGCATTGATCAGCTCATCAGCCAGGCACTCTGCAATGGTCTTGATGTTCCTGAAGGCAGCTTCTCTTGCGCCTGTGCACAGCAGCCAGATAGCCTACAGGACGAGTAGAGACATTAGTGGCTGACAAATTACATTTGATGAATTTAACGCTGGTCGGTAGTGTAATGTATCTTTGTTGGTGATTGACTGGGTCACAACAGACTACAGCCAATGAATAAGCAAAGATATTTCCTCTACGAGCACTCTAGCACACCAGGACAACGGGTGTGTCCAGGCGTGACTCTAGCCTCGCTTTATGCACAAAATACAAACAGTTATTACAGCAAACAGCCACTTTCAGAAAAGAAAAACATTGGGTGCAGCCTTGGATTTGTAGCTATGTAGTGATGAGCTGAGAGAAATATAAAAATTGGGAGATATTTTGCACAACAGCTTCATGGTTACACTGCAGTAGCAATGGAACATCCAATGGGCTTCCTTTTCTCATTAATGGAAGTTATTGGCCCACTTTTACAGCAGTATTCATTTTCTTTATGGACTGTACAACTCCTGCCACGTAAGCTCTAAATAAATGAAAGGTGAAATTGTCATTTGTCTAACGTGTGTGTCATTAGAAGGAAGAATGCAAAAAAAGCACATTTTCTAGGTATGTAAAGCACAAGCTCTTTCATTTTCTGGGGTGATTCCATTTTCATATTTAAATCAAAGCCTTTAAGAAAACCAATGTTTGTTTTATTTTAAATAGTATATTTGAGTGGGTTTACCTGGTTGACCCTGCGGAGGGGTGACACGTCAACAGCCTGCCTCCTGACGGTACCAGCACGCCCAATACGGGTAGAGTCCTCACGTGGACCACTGTTGATGATGGCGTTCACCAGGACCTGGAGGGGGTTCTGTGGACAACATTTTCAGTTTTAACTTAATTTATATGAAACCTGACACAAAAGTAGTTTTTTCTTCAAATGTAGTTCCTCAAGGTCTGCTAGCTGCATGTTCTGTGTGTTACATTTATAGTTTTTAATTAATATGGGATAAAAAAAGAGACATTATTGTCTGATGAATTACATTTGGTGAATTAAACACTGGTCGGTAGTGTAATGTATCTTTGTTGGTGATTGACTGGGCCACAACAGACTACAGCCAATGAATAAGCAAAGATATTTCCTCTACGAGCACTCTAGCACACCAGGACAACGGGTGTGTCCAGGCGTGACTCTAGCCTCGCTTTATGCACAAAATACAAAAAACTACAGTAAATGAAGCATGAAGTAAAACATAATCTGAGGTTCCTCTACAGTCTCCAGCAAACATTTATTTCAATCTGCCATGATGGGATGCTGGAGTTGGACAACCAATTTAATCTGTGGAGACTTTAAACTAGCATCACTGTTCACCAGTTGCTCTATTGCCGCCTCCCAAATATTAGTTTAAATCAGCCTTAATTATGCTGCACACTCCATGCATACCTCTCCTGTCAGCAGATGGATGATCTCGAAGGCGTGCTTGACGATGCGACATGTCATCAGTTTCTTGCCGTTGTTGCGGCCGTGCATCATCATGGAGTTGGTCAGACGCTCCACAATGGGGCATTGGGCCTTACGGAAACGTTTGGCCGCATAACGTCCTCCAGAGTGAGGCAGGTACTTGGCATACTTCTCTTTCACAGCAATGTAATCCTGTAGTAAAAAAGGAGGCGATTTAAACACGGTCTGTGCAGATTTTACCCAGGCTTTATTAACGTACAGCATGTATGAAGACTTAGTGTGTCTGAGTTGGTGATTGACTGGGCCACAAGAGACTACAGCCAATGAATAAGCAAAGACAATTTCCTCTACGAGCACTCTAGCACACCAGGACAACGGGTGTATCCAGGCGTGACTCTAGCCTCGCTTTAACAATCATATACAAACATAGCGTTCTATACATCGTGAATATTGAAACAATTTTAGTTGCCTTATAATCATGTTTCTATATAACAGCTACTTTCACTTCACTATATACCTGCAGGGAGATGTCATTGATCTGGACATCGTCGGTGCTCCACTTGCCGAAGAGTTTGATCTCTGGGGACTCAGCCACAGCTGGGGCAGTTTCCCACTCAGTCACTAAGGAAAAGGTCAAAAGAAACACGACGGTGGTCAATTATTGCTGTAAAGGTAAAACAAAGCACATTGCTCTATTTGTGACCCTTAGTGTTCACCTATTACATTTTACACAGGACTGGCGAATTGTAATCGTTCTAGGACATCCATCTTGGGAACATGGATATGCTCCCAATCACAAATGGTAACATGCAGGGTTGATATTGACCACATTATAAAGACAAATGTTATTGTCGCATTACACCGTATAAATTAAATTGATCTAGCGCTAACGTTACGTTGCAAAGCTTACTCCGTTTAAATGTTTACCTTCACGGGGTTACATACGTAGCAAAATAAACTACTTAACTATGTAGCTTTAACAATGATACGCGAATGTGAAGTTGTAATGGAAGAAGCTTCTTAAAAAGGACAGCCACATTTTCACATCAGGGCCCGAGATTAAGCCTGGTTCTCCTTAATTAACGTAACGTTAGCTTGCCGTCAGCTAACAAGCTAGCGGACACTTGACAAATTGCGTCATTTTATAAGGATATACATGGGTGATATTTTCTACTGAAGGATAATGTGTCACGTTTTTACACTATTGCAGTATTAATATAAATAGAGTACTGAATGTGAGGTCTATCAATGTGGCTGATCAACATGCCGCATCCACATGTGCTAAGAAGCTAGCCACATGCTAACGCTCAGCGTTGTGTGCTCGTAGCAAAACTCTTAGTGCAAATAAAACATCAGAATGGCAAAACTTTGACGTGTATTTCTTATTGTTTAGGCAACAGGAGTAAGCATCTTGTCTACTTAACAGATAAAACTATTTTTAAAGACGAATGGAAGGAGAGAAATGTGAATTCTTTACTCACTTGTGTCTGCCGTTCTGTACCACACTTCTCAGAGACGGAAAAGGGCCTTTTCGAGGCGCCGCGTGCAGATATCCGGTGAAATGGAGGGTTACTTCCGGTGCGCAGAGCATGCAGGGAATTGTATTTTTTGTTTCTAAGAAAGCAACTAACAAGAGGGCAATAAAGACTTCTCAAATACAAGTACTTGGAAACTACAAGCCTACTTGTTAAGAATATAAATAAGTTGATAACATGTTTAAGCTGACATTGCACAGGTCGATAGTCCATTTGACTCATAACACGTGAGTGAGCAATGTTATGCAAATGAGGATGGAAAGAAAAAAGTTTTGCTTTGGTTTGTTTCATGTTCTCAAATGTATGTTGTCCTTTTTTTGTGTTTTGGATATATTGAAAATATAAAGTGATTTTTTTTTCCAAGAAAATTATTGATGTATCTATTTGCTTTAATCTGTTCACTCTTCCATTCATCCAAATACAAATATTTTACAAAGTAGGTTGACCTTTGTCACACCTAAAAACTACATAAGCAGATCCAGATATACATAGTTTGGCTTTAAAAATCAAATAAATATATTTATATTTTATTTAATAATTAAACTAAGAATAGAGATAGAATTGGAGGATGACCCCTCTTTAATGGTCACACATTTCATTTTATTTGTCCCGCATACCCAAATGTACAATAATTGCCAACAAAACATGTCTCTGTAAACACACCATTGAGCGAAAAGGAGCAGGGAGAAGAATACAATCTTATATGACCTGCCCCTTTCTAAAAAAAACGAAATAAATACAACTGGATCGTCTGCCCTATTTGTATTTATTTCGTTTTTTTTAGAAAGCACACAGTGACATTTGACCTCTGCATGTAACCCATCGTAGTACTAGGAGCAGTTGTGTGCTGGTTTAAATATTTTAGGGTTTCCTGAACTTATTAGACAAATACTTTTTGTTGTAAAAAATAAAACAAAAAGAGACCTTACAAATTGCCTTTTATTGAGGAATTGACATTGGACACATTTTCATTTTCCAAATACTGTAGAAATTGTAGGACCGAGTCAAAATAGTAGTTTCTGTTTAAATGTTAAAAAAACTGTCCACAACCACATTTACATTTTTAAAGCAATAAAACTTGACCAGAGAAAGGACATCCCTTAAATACTTAATGTATGCAGCTAGGTTAACTAACTTGTACAAGCAGGCATGAAACAAAGGATGCAGCCATCAAAATAATACTGCAAAGCTAACAACTTTAAAAACAGTTAATCAATTCCCTTCTTTTTATCTGGTTAAACCTTGTGCAATGAATACTTTACTCAATAAAATCCACTTTTTGTTCTATCACACAATCGATATTTGCATTGCTTTTTTCCTTTTGAGCAACACCTATTTTGTACATAACATCCAATAAAATGCAAACAGTTAATAGAAATCCCTTCTCCAACAAACATGTAGGTAAAACGCCTGAGATATCTAAATGGGATGGGATGTAAAGAGCGCCATGGACAATAGTCTGGTGGACAAGTAAACACTAATATAGCACTGCCCCTTCTCTGGCCACTCCTCATCCACCCCTCTTCATCCTAAGCACCATCATTAAAGGCAGTGTGTTGTAGCACTTCGGTATGGGACACAAAACACAGAGGCATGAGGGGAAAAGGTAAGGCTTAATCTATGAAATCTCTAAAGCATTGCATGATAACGATAGCATATATGATATTCACGGTCAGATTTACACATATATAAAATGGAGGAATACAAATATATAAATTACTGCATCACAAGATGAGCAGGACAGTGAGTCTGTACATGTAGACACAATGACAGAACGTCGATCAGGCACTGTTGAGTTGTGGGTTGTTTTGAGGTATGTGTGATCAAACACACAAATGGATATATTCTGTGTATTTATTTATTCGAAATAAAGGGGCACTCCACCGTTTTTTTGCAGTCATGAGGGACTACTGAGCCTGTAAAAACTGTAAACATGTCTCATCTGCAGCATTGATACATGACCCTTCTGAAAGTCCCTTTCTGAAATGCAAATCAAAACTGCTGCAGTCCTCTTTTATGTTGATTTGCTTTACTGTTGCAGAGTGTAATAACATAATGGCTAGTTTAACCTCTACCAAGTTTATAGGAGCCTTCAAATTGGTTGCTTCTTAAAGTTTGGGCCTTTTTATTTTCTGAGAAAATACCTTTAGCACACATGGAAATGCTGGATTTGTTTGACAGCAGAACGGTTAATAATAAATAATTAAAATATGTAGTTTTACATGTTGATGAAAACCAAGCAGCTGGCTGAAGTTTCATATACACTGTACAGACACCAGTATTCCCACACGTTCTTAAACATCAAGGTTAAATAATGTTGTACTTCCTCAACGCCGTTTACATGAGAAACAATAAGCATCTGCAGGGTGCAGATGGACGATTTAACACTGTTAAAATAATAATTTAATTTCTATTCTAGACTATTCTAAACTTACAAGGCCCCTATTTACCTCCTCAAATTTACAAACATTAAATGAGTTCGAGGACTTATGGTCATGAGAGTGATATAAATCTTCTTATCTGATACGCTGCAAGAAAGCAAAGTAGTGGAGATTCCCTTTTATGTAACTTAAATAGTTCAGAAACTATAGTTCAGAACCTATAGTCCAAACTTCGCCAGCAAACACTACAATTACGGAGTAATTTCTTGAATCTGTAATCCAAACATTGAGATGACATGCTTCATAGTTTACAGTAGAGGCAGAGTTTCACACATGGTGGAAATGAAGAGCTCCTTAACCTGCAGGGTGTGTATCTCTGTTTGTGTGTATCTGTGTGTGAGTGTTTTGTTCTACACCAGCCACTTCTCCATGCACAGGTGGAACACAGTCTCATTTGAGTGCCAATACACGTGTTCCACGCCGGGAACAGAACAGATGATCAGATCTCCACGAGCCCCAAGCGTCTTCAGGCCAAAAACATCCCTTAAATACACCTGAAACAGGAAAAAACAAGCAATATGATTTATGGCAACTTTGTATTTATATGGAGATTTCAGGGATTTATTTTGTAAAATGTCTGTTATTTCTAACAGCTTATTTAGGTTGGAGAACAATTTAAAATCTTTGAAACTTTCTATAAAGAAGTTATTTAGTTGGAAATGTATATATGGTGTCTGCTTGTCAGGTCAATATTTGTTTTTTAGATATCTTTGACCTATATGTTTGCTTGTGCATGACACAATAAATAAATATGGATAGAAACAATATACAATAATGTTAGGGTATTAGTAGTGTTCACAAGGGGCAATACAATCAAATATAGTCTGTTGTTAATGTGTTTCTGTGGAATGATTCTTTCACTCACATCCTGGTGCTGCATCTCAACGACCGTGTCGTTGTCGTCAAAAAATCCGAACTGACTAAAGTCCATGAGGCACAGAGAGAGAGAAAAGATCAAGTGTGAGCATCACATGAGAGTCATCTGATCAGCCAACACAATTTTTCAACAACAAAAGCAACATTTTCAAAGCAGAGACGTGTGAAGTGAGCGTGAAACATGTCATATGACAACGGGAAAAAAGGATTTGGTGAACAACAACAAGGCTTTCATAAAGGGTATCAATGATACTCTGGTATTTTTATCTGCATTTCTGCACTGGGGTGAAGTTACTGTTACTGGGCGCCTTAAGTGTATGTGCTAAGTAATGTTAAAGCATTTGAATGCAAAAAATGACACCCAACCTTTCAATATAAAACTTTGAAATGGCTAAGAATGACTCCTTGGCTATGTGTACTTTGTCACCAATAACTGGAGAATACTGTAAAACATTTTTGTCTGCAAGAAAGAGCATTACATGAAATCATAAAGCGGATGAAAAGCGTTATAAAATGTTTGCGACAGAGGACGAACTTACCTCGACTGCCAGGGAGTGATGACTCCATCGTCCGGTCCTCCAACCAGCACCAGCTTTTTTATTTTCAGGAAGTTCTTCTTCCACTCTGAGATAGAGAGGTACACTTTAGTACACTTAATTATGTATGGCTGCACAACATATAGCAATCCAGTATATACTGTAAGCTCTGCCATTAACTCTACTACGTACTGTGTATGATATCATTTATTAAATATATAAATGATTTGTTTATTATAAATAAATGTAATAAAAGGGATTACAATTGTAAGACCTGGATAGTCAACGTTTTTACTGTCAAAGGATAGACTAACTGAAACAAAATGCAAGTTTAGATAACATTTACCGACATCCGTCTACTTTTTTGTAGCTATGAGCTCAAACCTACTGTTGCATCATAACAATAAAGCAACATCCACTGATGGTTACATTCATTCAACTTTTGGATGAGTTTTACCCTCAAAGAATTTGCTGACCTGTTGAATTTGGATTTGATCGCTCGCTGTTGAGCAGAGCCAAATAATCACTGCTGTTCACATACATGTCTCTGTGGTGGGGGTCTGGAGGAAGAGGACAAACAACCAGGATGTCAAAACACTTATTTATGAAGCTTTCTTACACTTAATCTCATATCCTTTTCTGAGTTTGACAAGATCCAGAATATAAATAATTCTCACCGTTCCAGTAGTTGCAGATGGAGATCCTCTGACCTACCGATGTGTAGCAGAGGTGGAAGAGGTTGGACTTCACAAACTGTGGGAAGAGGTACCTCAAGTAGTCGGTGTCTGATGAGACAAAGAGCATGATGAGACACACGCTTAACGAGTTATGGAACAGTCCTTAACATGTTAAATCTGGAATAACTGATTTTTTGCCAATTTGGGGCGGTAACAGGTTAACAACATAACATTGAAACATAGTCTCTTCTGAGTAGTAATCTTTCTAATCTTCTTTGTCTTTTAGCTGTTTTTTTTTGTTTGACTACCAACTTTTGAGTGAAATATTTGTCTCTTTAACTGCTAAATGCTCCACTATTTACACCAGCTAACCAACATGGGTTGTTAAAGATGTCTTTGCTGGCTGCTGCAGTCGTAAACAACACAATGAGCATTCAGGGTGAACAGAAACAGTGAAGCTCAAACAAGAGCTGAAATCCCCTCTAATGGGTTTATAACAGAGAGAGAAGCTAACATCAGGGGATATTTACTAGGAGTGTTGCCCCTCTAAAAATCACAGATTCACCGTGATTACACATTGTCATTTGATGAATTGTTATAACAACTATTGATTATAGTTGCTTATCATGTGTTCAGCCTTTAAAGTAGAACTCACCTCCATACTGCCCGGCCTGCGGCGAGGACAGAGAGATGAAAGACTGGACGTTGTGGTCGTTGAGAGTCGAGAGGATCCCTCTGCAAATAAGTCCACCTGTGAAAATGACACACAAGTCTGTACATGAACATTTGTTTACACATTTTGGATATTTAATGTACACACATCATGTTTTTGATTATATATTTTCTTTTCCAGTGTATATTTTTTATGATAATTGTACATACAAATGAATTATACACAATAATATGCTACGACTTCAGCCTACACTTTTATTCATTATAAGTTTCCTTTGGGCTTACTATTTCAAAATTAATGACTTTTTTTATATATATTATTCTTAATATGTGTATTTAAGTTGTACTTGAATAAACAAAACGGAGTGCCTTGTTTTGACCAACAAACCGACAAAAAGGTGCTAAATTGACTATCAGATAAGACAAAGTAAAACATTATGTATTTATTAACTAGTTGTTTTATTTTTAATCTAATCAAGATTGCACACTACTCTTTTAATATCCTTGTTTCTGATGATAAGTTTCAGTTTCAGTACATTTTCAGTAAAGCACAACCTTTAAATCTATAAAAGAAAAACATTTTTTAAGGTAAAATCTAAACTTCTTTACATAAATATGTGTGGTAACAGGTTGTATAATTTCCACATGAGAAATTCACTGTTGGGCAAAGGAAATGTCATGGGCATTCACATATATTCCCCTGGTTTTTACCATAGACTGTATATATAGGTTTTTACCAACAGGAACATTTGGCAGTTTAAATAACACACTGCAGGTTGGGAATTTCCAACTCCAGACTGAAAGTGAAATCTCAGGAGTTGAGAAAAAAATCCCTTGTAAAGCCCCATCTTTTAAATAAAAGAGTGAAATACAATGAGGAAACTTATAGCAAGATTGGCACAAAGACTGTTTTATAATTTTAAGAGAATACCACATTGAAGTTCATGTATTTCATTTGCAGACATGCACTCACAGACCTTGAGAGTAGCAGATAAAATGGACCCCATCTTCTGCATTTTGCATTATTGGGTGAATAGCTTCCTTGAATCCCTCCACCTGTTTCCACATGGGCTGCAGGCTGGCACTTCTGTCAAACAAGTCGATGACGGAAACATTTGTGCCAGGATGAGACTGCAGGAGAAAGAAGAGGAACATTTCACAACTGCACTTGTAGACGTATTAATGGATCACTATTTGTGTAAACTGTCTTGAAAATTGAGTTTGATATCAATTAATATAAGCAATAAAGCCATTCTCACATAATCTGATTGTATCTAATGGGGCAATCACATGACTCGATACAAAGGGCAATCAAATGACTCAACTCCATTTGTTATAAAAGGTCCACAGGGTTGTTGAGGTATACCAAATGGAAAGGATGTGCTTTAAATATTCATTGGGCAGTACAGGCTTTCTAAAGCAGACAAACTAGGGTCTTGATTTGCCAAAGACAAACTAGGGTCTTGATTTGCCTTCAGAAATATGTTTAGTCTGGTTCCAGTCTAACAGCAGATGTGAAAAAGAGGAAGTTAATCTTGGTTTAACCTAATCAACCTTCATAATTAAAATGGCACCACATCCACCGCTATCTTAAAATGTACTACTAGCCTAATCATCATATTTTATAATCCAAACAGCGCACATTAGCTCAAGAAAGTTTTTTGTTTAGTACAGTGCAAACTACAGGTAATATCGTCCTATTAAACAGAAATAGCAAATGTACCTCTATAATAATACATTTCAGTGCACCAAACCTTTATTATAGTAGCCTACTGATCACTCAATTTCCCGTGTTATTGCAATTAGAATATTGCAATATATTGCATTACAATACATTTTATTATTCTACTCTTATTATAAAAACTGATCAATGTTACAGAAGATTGCATGTTTTAGGTAGGCCTACACGTTGTACTGATAAGGCAGTGATATAACAAGGCCTGAAGTATATAAAGTATAAGGTCAACCCCTGAAAAAACAAAATGTACCAGTCATGTTATAAAGTATAAATATACTAAAAATAGATAAAAAGGAGCCAAATGTAGCGACTCACTGTTCATTGCGACCACTCACCTCGTTTATGAACCGCTGTAAGTCTTTAAAATCCCCTGAGCTGTCGAATAAACCGTGCACGATGATCACCGGCTTGTACCCGACCGCTGCAGCCCAGAGACAGGCACCGAGCAGCGGGTAGAGCAGCCCAGCCGCCCCGCTGATCCTCCTCACCCTTCGGCTTGACAAAGCGGGAAGGGAGTCCTTCATTTTACCCCAAAACTGTTTTTTTAAAAAATCGCTTGAGTCGTGTTAAAAATAAAATTGATTACTTTCAAATGTACATAAAAACATAAAATCTTGATGTTTTTGCTAGTGTTTTGCTATCATCTTCATTTCCATTTTTTGCCCAAGCTGCGGTAAAAAAAAAGAGCAAAAATGTCGCTCATCAGTACCTTGAATAATCCTGCTTTACACTAGTTGTATATTCCTTAAAAAACCAGCTGCATCGTATTGCTTTGGTTCCTTTTGTTTGTTCCGGTTTAAATTAAACGTGATGCGGCCGCTGTAACGTCATTTCCGGTTTCAGCTCGTCCAATCAGCAGCGTGGGCACATAACACTCCCCTACAGTATGTTACTAAAAAGGTAAACAATTTGTTTTAAATGAAAAATTATAAATGTCGTTGTTCAGATATTCATTTTCCATCACAAATATGTGTCTTTCTTTAATAATGTTGTACTAATACTGTCCACTTGCATAGCAGAACAAGAAAGGGATGAGTGTTGGTTCTCACATTTCTGTTTACTGCAAATCCCACATCATTGTTGTCTCCTTTGCACATGTACAATTCATGTAGGCCTACTGGATTTCCCTAATGTTTTCTTAATTTGAAATGAACTTTAATGTCCAAAGTAGAACAGGATTATTGAAACAGCACATCAAATAGGTGTTGCTTGTTCCCTATCTCAGCGGGTCAGCGGCCTGAGAAGTCGCACCAGACACTGTACGACAAGCAGACTTTTGAAACAAACACAGCTGCACCTTTGCCAATCACTGTACTCTCACTCTCTCACTCTCTCACACACATTCACACAAATCATTCAAAATGCAAAACCATGTGATCACAGGCTTTATTAACCAGTCCTGCAGGTTGAGAGTAGAACAATAGGTCGTAGCAAGGGGGAGTGCCAAAGCCTCTTTACATTCATTTCAGCATAAAGTAAATACATCCTGAAGATCAGGTTGCTCCAAAGTAGGCAAAAGCTGATACTTCTTTGCATTGTCAACATATAGAACCAGATTTCTGGCTTTTGGTCCATTTCAAACAGACAGGTTAATACGACAATAAAGGGTTTCCAAAAACATGTATCTATTAAAGCTGATGTGCAACAGCTGGAACATATTTATTCACAATAGAGGGTACTAGAAAGCCTACAGGTCATCTCATGACTTGGGAGTGCAGTCAGTTTCTACAGACACGTTTTGGCTTGTTCTGATCAATGACTGAGTGTCACGTTGACTTTGTTTTGGTTTCACATAATGGAGCATTAGATGACCTTTAAGTGCTTTCGCTGGAGAGCATAATGTAGGCTGCTTGGTCAGCTCTTGCAAGAAAAGGAAAGTGATTTATTGCTTCATGAAAAAAAGCATCAAAAGCACCCCAGAGACAGTTTTCTGCCTTCAAAATTAGCTCAGATTTAACCGCTCCAGTGAAGCATTACATGTACAAGATAACATTCAAAACAAGCCGTATGAAGACAACAACATTGATAATAACATTTTCTTTATTTTCCCAGGTTAGAGAGGTTGGAGGACAGGAGCAGCTCTACACAGTAGGCTGCAGTAGCTCCTGTAGCTGACACAGAGTGTCCTTCAGGATGAGAGCCAATGTTTCCGCATGTGTTTCCTCACAGCAGTTGAAGGCGGTGATGGAGAAGTGTACGTGGTCTGCTTGAGGGTTGTAGCAAATGGCATAACCGTCAGGAACGAGGGGCCCGAAACACATCACGCTGTCTGTGTTCGCAGGCACCTGAAGGAGCAAGAGGGAGGATGCACGTGAGCTCATGTACCAAAAGAAAGAGAGTTAGAGATGAACAAATATCTCACAGCATTGTCTTCTGGATTTCAAATACTTAATTAATTTGAGTATTGAGCAAATTAATCATGAAAGTAGTTGTTCCTTTCCTTTCTTTTCTTGATAACCTCATTATCCAGCCCTTGTGAATATTATTCAAGCAAGCAATGGCTAAAATAGTGCTTGCTAATATTGAGGAACATTTCATAGAGATTTCTCTTCCCCCCGCAGTTGACATGACATTAAATGGCACATACAATACATGATATAAAGACAAAACTCATCTCAAATTTGGCCATTTAAAAAAAAAAATAAACATATCAAAACATACCTAAATGTCTTTCATTAATATCAAAACATCTGGCAACTACTGCCGTTATTCATCTTTTACTAATTAATCTATTGATCTAATGCTGACTCATTAATCTTTGTTCTATGTATATTAACGGCTAGAGACTGAGAAAAGTGTGAAAAGGAAGTAGTGTTGACTGATTAATTAATCACCAGGGAAAAGAAAAGCAAGATAACTCCCATTATGAAGCAGCTAGTTATATTGTAAAGGGGTAATAACACAACATGTAAAAATAGAGCCATAAAGACAACACAAGCTTCTGCACAGAACATCAGCAGAGTGATTGCTGGAAACTCCTAAATTACATTTTGTGGCAGTAAATATGCCACATTAAGAGAACATCACATGTCGCATAACAGAAAAACTGCTGATTCACCTGCTGAAAGTTCTCTCGTATATTTTCACTGTGTCATAAAACAAAGACAAATTCCTCTTGTGCTACATGACTGTCAATTACTTCCATAAAACAGACCAGCAAAGCCACACTTGTACACACAGAAACATACCTGTCCGGTCCGGAGTTTCCAGTGTGTTGCCAGGCCGTAAGCGGTGTCCATGAAGATTTTGGGGACGCTCAGTCCTTCCTCGATGGCCTGCAGCTTGAGCCCCAGCAGGTGGTTGTCTATGCCGTGTCCATTAAGTACCTGAACAGAGCCGATAAAGAGATTTCAGAGAGAAGTGTTTATCAGTTAATATCAAATGACAAATGAAAGTTGACTTGTCACTCACCTGATGAGTCAGAGCTGTGTAGGCATCAACAGCTTCTCTGAACAGCTGTAGCTTTGCTTCGTGCTGCAACACAAGAAATTAAACACGCTATGATTACATCTCTCCACACCTGAAAGACATGCTGAAATAAATGCTGTGTTAGCCACAGGGGATCAATTCTATGGTGTTTCTCACCGAGACAGATGGATCATCGAAGGCCTGAATGAACTTGAGCGTCTGGTTTGTGGGCGAGCGGATATACTCGGTTCTTCCTCCTTTAAACATCCTCTGAGAGGCGATATCACAGGCAGCACAGACCTCATTGTGGACTCTAAAAACAAAAAGGAAAGGAGTTAATGGAGTAAAACCTAATAGCACTGTTCAATTCAATATTTGTTCATCAACATTGTACGCTACAGGGCAAACAATCGGCTACGTTTTGACACTGCAGTTTCCATAAAAGTTTGTTGGATACAAGCAGGAAGTATACTGTTGCCATTGATTCGGTTAGATTTGTGCTACAATTGAAGCCCATTTCTTTGGCCTAAATTGAAAAGGATGCTGAATTAGCTAGTAGCAGTTCTGTTTGCCACACAGCCACGTTTTAACAGACAACTTTACGCAAATGTGCTTGATACTGAAGAAAATTTTAAAATATGATGCATGTTCTTAAGTTAAAAGGAACAACTTTTCTATGATTTATTTTATTTTATTCAATAAACTACTGACAACATTTCTCTGTGTTGGAATTCAACAGACATTGGATCGAATGGCTGCCATACATGTAGAGATTGAGATTCAAGGGAACATTTGAGTGGTCTCTGAATTTTTTTCAGAGCTATAAATGGATAAGTGTTAGTCACACTGGATCTAAAAATAGTTATATTGTCTCCTGTGTGTTCAAATATGACTAAAACTCCTGAGAAACTTCCTCATGCTAACAGATTTTAATTTCTTCTGAGTTGTGTTCACTCATTAACTGTATTTTAATTTCTCAGTGAATCACCCTGGTCAACCTTTATTGTTTAAGTTATACATATAAATCACTAACTTGATTCGACTTGATTTTATACTATTTTGCACAATGTTTATATTGTGTTAATTTTCTTATGAATGAGGCAAGGCAAGTTTATTTATATAGCACCTTTCAACACAAGGCAATTCAAAGTGACATTAAGAAAATGGCATTTAAAATCAGTCATTAAAAAGCAAAGATAATAAAATAAACATTAAAAGAAAAAATACATGGATAAAAGTCACAGTGCAGTCTAAGATGTGAATAGTTCAATTAAAAGCAGCGGCAAAAATAAAAGTCTTCAGACTGGATTTAAAAGTAGTCAGAGTTGCAGCGGACCTGGGAAAAACAACCTGCCCTTTAGGGACAATAAAAAATAAAAGTAAAGCTTTGTTGCTATATTTTAAATCTGTAAAGTTAGTGGTGTATGTGTGTTAGTGTGTCATGTGGTGGACCTGTAGTAGGCGAGCTGCAGGGCGACCTGGATGAAGGAGTTTGGACTCAGGCTGTGCTGTTTAGGAAGCTCCTTGCCAAACTTTTTGAAGTTGAACACGTTCACGTCAAGGTCGTTGATTAGTCTGCAGGAGATTTCAAAAACATTACAAACAGACTTATAGGAAAGGCCTTGATCTCAAAGGTCAATGACAGCTTCCTTTCCTGATAAATGTGTTTACACCTCTGGGGCTAAGGTCACATCAGCTTTGTTAGTTTTTCAAGACAAAGCAAACATGTAGCCTACGCTGAGTAGTGAGGGCATTCTTCTCTTATCATCACAAGCACTCATCGTGAACTCTACATTTATAGTGTGAAACTTACATATCGAGGTTCTGCTTGGCATGCTCTATGTCCCTCTTGATTTCTTGGTCTATGTTAAAGTAAAGCTTCTTGGGCATCGGTAGAGGAACCAGCGGTGCTCTCTTTGGGTCTGGCTTCTCACTACAGTCAAGAAAACATACAAGTGTGCATGATGTAAAGCTTTGTAGGATTTTATTATAACATATTATGATTAAATCAGGGTACTTTTATTCAGTAACACAGGTAATCTTTGTGAGTGTTGTTTGGAGTTATTAAGCACCCTTTAATAAGAATTTTAGCAGCAGCTTTTAAAGGATTCTTTAAATACACTTTTTAAGGAAATGCATTACAATTGGGCCTCAAAAACCATAAGACATATGGACAGTACTTTCATGTCAGCATAAGGCGCTTTCACACCAAGAACTTTGCCGTACTTAGTTCATCAGAACTCTTTAGTTCTGATGAACTAAAGAGCAGATCGCGTTCACACCGGAATAAGGCTGGAGCCACACGAGGACGATAACGCAAAGGGACCGCAATCGTTATCAAAAAAGTCTTCCGTCCACACGCAACAGGGACCAGAAACGTGTCCGTT